ACTCACTATTCACACACCCAACACAAAACAACACAACACTCTAATCCTCTCCAACATACACAATTCAATCCATCTCTCCCTCTCACACACAGTCGACCGGCACATGTCAGTCAAATCAACTAGTGCTTGTTGCATGAACGACGAACAACTACTAACTGGCTCTCTCAGTCAACAACTTCACACTGAACACTGCGTTCAATCTAATCTGATGAACAAATGCCGAAACCATTGGAATGCAGCGAGGTGTGGTGTTTGTGTTGGTGTCGCAGTAGTTTGTGTGCAACGCTGCGTACTGACCGACATGTTACATAGTGATTCTGTGAGTGTTATGTGTGCAAGTGTATGCCTGCAACAATGATCTAGTCGGACTGTCAGTGAGCAGGTCAGTCGGTCGATTACGCACATGTCTCAAGTGAGATGAGACTATCGGACCGAGTGAGGCGAATAGACGTGAATGTGGTCGGTGATTGTCGAATGTGATCGACTTGTCAGTCAGTGTCTGTATGTGTGGGACGAGCGGGTGGGGAGGAATGTGTGTTGATGTTTCACAGGTGGATTATTCGACTGAGGTGGGTGGATTTGTTGGCAGTTGAAGGTGCCGACTTCCCGTCGACAGCATTGTGGTGATTCGGTGATTGGAGTTGTGTGTTGATAGTGTCGGTTGGATGAGTATGAGAGTTGATGTGTAGTTGTAGGTGACATGTGATGGTTGTGTTATTGTGGTGTTTTTCGGGGAAATAGGAGAGGAGGTGATGATTGTGTGTTAGTCGTGGGCGTTGGAGTTAGTGGGAGTTGTGTGTTGTGTGTTGTGTGGTAAGGCGATGTATGTGAGCGTAGAATGACCGCCCGCGTGGCCTAATGGATAAGGCGTCTGCCTCCTAAGTAGAAGATTGCGGGTTCGAGTCCCGCCGTGGGTGTGGATTTTGCAGACATACGAAATTCCCAGTCGCACGGAATCAACCTACATCGACTGCACGCGAATCTCAATCGTCAGCCGGATCACTGACTGGTTCAGTGTCGCTCGAGCAATCGCAGCGCACAATGCGGTCAGTCGACGCGAACCGGCTGACACACGGTCAGTCCACACTCCCACACATCGGTCCACCTCATCCACATCGTCCACACACACAGTCTCCTCTGACCAATCGACGTGGCTATGTCTATTGTCACTGGGACACTCACTCATCGTCCCACCCCCATCTACAACACAATTCATCATTGCTACAACACTCTCACACACCACACATGCCTACTTCTACACAACCACACACAACAACTGCAAACACCAAACCAAACCACACTCACTCAATCACTCACTATTCACACACCCAACACAAAACAACACAACACTCTAATCCTCTCCAACATACACAATTCAATCCATCTCTCCCTCTCACACACAGTCGACCGGCACATGTCAGTCAAATCAACTAGTGCTTGTTGCATGAACGACGAACAACTACTAACTGGCTCTCTCAGTCAACAACTTCACACTGAACACTGCGTTCAATCTAATCTGATGAACAAATGCCGAAACCATTGGAATGCAGCGAGGTGTGGTGTTTGTGTTGGTGTCGCAGTAGTTTGTGTGCAACGCTGCGTACTGACCGACATGTTACATAGTGATTCTGTGAGTGTTATGTGTGCAAGTGTATGCCTGCAACAATGATCTAGTCGGACTGTCAGTGAGCAGGTCAGTCGGTCGATTACGCACATGTCTCAAGTGAGATGAGACTATCGGACCGAGTGAGGCGAATAGACGTGAATGTGGTCGGTGATTGTCGAATGTGATCGACTTGTCAGTCAGTGTCTGTATGTGTGGGACGAGCGGGTGGGGAGGAATGTGTGTTGATGTTTCACAGGTGGATTATTCGACTGAGGTGGGTGGATTTGTTGGCAGTTGAAGGTGCCGACTTCCCGTCGACAGCATTGTGGTGATTCGGTGATTGGAGTTGTGTGTTGATAGTGTCGGTTGGATGAGTATGAGAGTTGATGTGTAGTTGTAGGTGACATGTGATGGTTGTGTTATTGTGGTGTTTTTCGGGGAAATAGGAGAGGAGGTGATGATTGTGTGTTAGTCGTGGGCGTTGGAGTTAGTGGGAGTTGTGTGTTGTGTGTTGTGTGGTAAGGCGATGTATGTGAGCGTAGAATGACCGCCCGCGTGGCCTAATGGATAAGGCGTCTGCCTCCTAAGTAGAAGATTGCGGGTTCGAGTCCCGCCGTGGGTGTGGATTTTGCAGACATACGAAATTCCCAGTCGCACGGAATCAACCTACATCGACTGCACGCGAATCTCAATCGTCAGCCGGATCACTGACTGGTTCAGTGTCGCTCGAGCAATCGCAGCGCACAATGCGGTCAGTCGACGCGAACCGGCTGACACACGGTCAGTCCACACTCCCACACATCGGTCCACCTCATCCACATCGTCCACACACACAGTCTCCTCTGACCAATCGACGTGGCTATGTCTATTGTCACTGGGACACTCACTCATCGTCCCACCCCCATCTACAACACAATTCATCATTGCTACAACACTCTCACACACCACACATGCCTATTTCTACACAGGCGCACACGTATTTGACAATAGCCATCCGCAGCTGGCATGTTTCCTTGTACTGGTTACATTCAATTTCTCTTTGTCTCGTTTAGCTTTCCATATTCTGTTTCTTCCGCTCTCTTTTTAGTCCGTTTTATACTTTTTCGTGTTTGCACAGTTTCGAGAAATCTTTAAATATCTCTCATTTAATCCTTGTAATTTTAGTTTATTTTTTTCTAACCTTTATCGTCTTTCTTAATATTTCTGTTTCACTCGAGCATTTTTGATATTTCTTTTTAATCATTCTGCGCTTTACACTTCTTGACCAATTTACTGTTTACAGCATAAATTTCATTATTTTTATTTTAATAGGGTTACAAATAAACCATGATTGAAATCCTGGAATTCCGAATCAGCGGTTTTGTCATCCAGTGTTTCCATGTTTCTAGATGTTTATCTAACATTGATCGATTTATTATTTCAATAAAACTCATGAATCTTCATGATCCCATAATTAAGATTATCGTTTGCTCATTAGTGACTAGCTTAGTGAGGAATTTTCTCTGAGTTTTAGTGAGAAACTGTGACCAGTGGAGTTCAACCATGCCGGATATAATACAAAATTCACCGAAAACAATGGATAAGGTCTTGTGGACTGATCGAAGTTACATATGAACACCGTTGGATGCCGGTTCAGTGGTTAAAAGGTTCAGCGTCCCCACGCGCGAGACTAGAGATCCTGGTTTTAATTACTGAGTGTGAATCTTTTGAGTGTGTGGCTCTAATGAGTAGCATTCACGGACTAAACGACCGTATAGTATTGCTTCTAGATTTCTAACATTGGTGTAACATTGATCGATTGATTGAAGATTTCAATGAAAATTAATTTTTATTAAAAATCAATTGAAACGACTAGTTCGTTTTATAAATATTGATTGGACAATAAGAAGTCGTAATTGATCTGTTTCTATTCGAGTTATTATTTACTCGCCTTTCGTTCATGTCTAATCATTCACTTATATTTTTGATTATATTTGTTGTAGTATATAGGTGCATGCTTACTTTGTTGATTACATGTCTAGCTTATTATTACCTAACTATAAATACTTACTGAGGTTTAATCCCATTGAGTTGGCTCACTTGCCTTCTACACTTTGCTTTCCTTTGCTTCCACTCTTTGTATTCTCCTATCTGTCTGTGCGAATGATTGCATGAGATAGATTTATCGGCTAAACCATAGTTGGCTTTTTATCGCCTCGGTCGCAGAAATGGGATTCCTCTAAGTATGATACTCGAATCGGAATCAGATCGCAGGTCACTAAAGTGATGAGTCCTGCGTCAAATTCAATGCAACCCCTTATACCATGGAAAATAAATGTATTCTATCCAACAAGTTATCAAGCAACTCATTAACATACTGTGTGAACTAATGAAAAAAGTCTGAAAGTATAAATTTCTCCTCATATCTGATGTGTATTGAAAAGTTTAACGTGTAGTGCCTCCACATTTATTTGCATCCGCTTACATTTAATTTGGTTAAGCCGTTTCGATTAATTTCTTTAACCAAGCCATTCGCGTAGCAACAACTTGTATGTACCATTGGCTTTTATAATTGCATGATTTGTATGAGCTTGTACGACTGAGCATTGTTTACGCCTACGCGCTGACTCATCCTTCTCGCTTTAATGTTAATATCTTAATACCCCTATGAACTCACATGACTTGCCTCGCTTACCTTTGACCTTGTCAGTCATTCGTCGCTTTTATTCATATTTGTGCATACCTATTTCGCTTGTCATATGTCTGTCTTACATTTTTGTCTGACTATATATTCTCTTAGTCATACTCTATCTTTTTGAGTTGGCTCTTAGACTTCTCCAGTTTGCGTTTCTTCATTCGTTTTACTCACTGCTTCTCCGCTTCGCTTTGTGGTGTGTCCCGAATAAACGTATTCATCACTACGAATTCATCTTCTGATTTATAAACCGTCGGACGCTATTTGGCAACGATTGTCTGAACGAGCTAATTACCGAGCTTAAGAACACGCAAGTAAACAGACACACATTGACAAACGCGCCTTATCATAATCTTGAGACTATAACCAATAGCTATAAAAACAAAAAGAACTTTATTTGAACTTCATTCCTTCATTAAATCAAACTAGCTAATCTACAAAATACAACAGTCTAAACTCTCATTTTAAATCTAATAATCATCACTCATACATACCGCGAAATTCAATCTACCCTACTCATACTAATCATCACTATCAATCTCAATCAATTTTGACTAGTTTAAATGAGAGAGAAAAGAAAACGATTTTTATAAGAATACCTAGGGTCATTTGATTAGTTTATTGGAAACTTTTTTTCGAATAGACAAAAACCAAATCGAATTATAATGATCAAAATATCCAAATGAAGTTTGGTTGCTTTTGAAAACAAAAAAAAACGTTTTACCAAACTAATGAAGTATGACAAAGGCCATATAAAAATCCTGGTAAATCTTCTGGTAAATTAATATTACGTATTTCTTTTGATGTTGACAAATGTAAACTACGCATACAACCACGAAACATTTCACCTTGATAATTGTAAGCGGATTTTTTCATGATGTCTGATGTTAAAACTGAAATTTTTAAATGAAAAATATGTTGGGTAATTTGATGAGATTAGATGGAGAGAAAAATATAAATGTGGAATAAAGATTTACTTTCTCATTAGTGACTATTAGCTTCGTGAGGAAATTCACAGAATTTTAGTGAGTATGCGTGACCAGTAGAGTTCAACTATGTTAGGTGTAGACAGTAAACTACCGCTAACTATGGGTAAGGTTTCACAGAATCCTTAGATTGATCAGAGTTAGACAATAACACCTTTGGATGCCACCTCAGTGGTCCAGAGGTTAAGCGTTCGCTTACATTACCAACTAAGTGGTCCATTTAGAAAGTAAAGAGAATGGAACGACTTATGTGTAGCGTTTGATAAACCCCACTAAATAAATAGTTCACTAAGAATTTAACATTAATAATGCTGACTTCATCTAGTTTTACTGAACATACTCTAGCGAAAGACGCTTAGTCACTCATCCATATCAAATCACCGTTGGATATACTGTGTAGCGCATACGCTTTCATCGACTAGCAAGCTTATTTAGTTCACTCCTAGACATTCAGAGCATCGATTCTCTTTATTCTTGACTCTTGGTTTGACTTGACATTGAAGTCTTCTCATTCTGGAAACTGTTAAGTATAAAAGCGCTGTCCTACTATGAATATTCGCGACATTTTCAATGTTTTAATTATGATGAAGATTTTTAAACAGATAATATATGTATGTATGCATACATATATATCAGTAATGTATTACAGTCAGTCATTTACAGAGTAGAATTTCATACTTACGTACATCATTAGTTCAAGTTACCATACCACGATAGATCAGACATATAATTATCGATTCAAATCCCATCGTGGTAGAGATAGTAGATATATCAGCAGTAATTGGAGAAATTGGAGTTCAAAGATATAATTCAGAAAGTATAATCTGGTGATATAAACTTGAAAAGATAAAGGTGATGAAGAATCCAGAGGATAAGGATTTGAAAGAAACCAAAGAATGGATGCACCTACGCCATTGCAAACGGTTTCAAGCCATATCATTCAAAATCTGTAACTATCGCTTAACTATCATCTCGTGGACCCCAACCAGATAGTCTACATCTACCAACATGACTCAGTCCACTTGTCAGTGACTTCATGGATTTGTGCCATGTTTCGGTCTGGCCGCCTCTAACTTTCTTCCAACCTATCCCCACACCACAAAACATCACTCGTCGACGCAGTCAGTAGTTAGGCATAAATAACACATGTCCCAATCATCTCAACTAGTGGAGGTGCCATTTTTCTTACCTAGTTCCTGTTTCACAACAACTGCATTGCTTACTCAACTGTCTCCGGATATACGAGCAATGCTTCATAGACACCTAATTAACTTACCAGTATTTCGTCCAAGATGTATTGATTTTAATCGATTTGCTTTGATAAATGGTGCCAATGTATCACTAATTGATGTTTGTGATTTCAATAAGAATAATGGATTCTGATTGATAAATGTAATATCTAATTTAATATAATGCCATATATTTTGATTATGTCCAATATTGGCTAGATTCACTTCATGATTTAATTCCAACTCGCCGTCATTGGATTCAGTGTAATAACCCATTTTCACCTTTTAATTAAATGAAGACAGGTAAAAACAAACAATTAGTGAATTTTGGAGGTTTGCGTTTTTACACATTTGAAATCATCCATCAATCATTTTTAGACCACCATTAGAAACCTGGAAGCACTGGACGGCTGTTTCGTCCTGGTATGAGACCCATCAGCAGTGTGCATCCACGACTCTCGCTCCTCGCAGGATTTGAACCCGGGACCGTCAGCATTGTAGGCGAACGCCTTGCCATCGAACAACTGGGCCGGCATCCTACTAGTGAATTGACAGAAGTATTAGGAGGCGATCAAATGGAAATCCTGGCTGATCTAGATTTCATTGTTGAAGCATACTTATGTTGTGTGATGGATACTACTTGCAATGTTGGCTTACAGTAGTATGCAACAACTATGAAGTAATTGATAGGAATTACTGTTTGATATAGATTTCGTATGTGAATTGATATCTATCAGCGAAGCATACTTATGGTGTGATTGATACTACTTACAATGTTAGCTTGTGAGTAGTATGCAACAACTATGAAGTGATTGACAGGAATTCCTGTTTGATCTAGATTTCATAGGTGAATTGATAATCATCAGTGGAGCATACTTATGGTGTGATGGATACTACTTGCATTGTTGGCTTATGAGTAGTATATACTGGAGTATCACCGTGAAGTTACTGCTGAAGTGACGAGTGTCGGATACGGGTGTGTGGCACGCTCAAAGTGTTTGACAAAAAAAAACTAGAAGACATATGTGAAAGTAAGCAGCAACGAATCTGTTTGTTTTGTAAACGTAGCGTGAGGATAAGGTGTACATAATTTGCTAGTAAACTGTCTTCATAATTTGTTCTCAGCGTCTACATTGATCACAATTGTACTATCAAGAGAATTGGTACTTACTATGGCATTTCAGACTGTGTCATTCAATTCAGTATGGTTTGAGATGTTATCTTCGAACTATGAACCTACTGTACGACTGAGGTGCTTACAATTAATCGATTATTGAGTAGTGACCGGTTTCATATTGGCCCAAATTTTTATTTAATGGCAAACGAATATGAACGTAAATTTTGGGACAGAATAATCTAGATAAGATCTGATAAAAATAGGTTGTGAAAATGTTAGGTTCGATAAACGCGAACGAGACAATGAACCAGCGTACAGGTAGGCTACCCTGATCCGAAACCGTTAAAGAGAAGTCTCGATATAGCGTAGAAAGTATATTCTACAAACACCCAGCAAGCACAATACAATCAAGCACACAAGTCTCGTTTATTTATACACCATAGAAACGTCCTTGGGACAGTCATGAAAATAGCACACTAAACTACACAGCAGCCAATCACACAGCCATGGATTTTCCTGGTGGGAAATAAAATCTCAAGGTCAACTTATCAGCCCATGCTCGCAAACATGAAATTCAAAATTAAGGCATTTACCAAGTGAGTTCTGGGGATCTAACTTCCCCAACACAAAATGTGTTGGTAACAATATTCTATTTATCTGGGCTTTGTTTATTGTAGATTGAAGGGGTAAACTCTTGTTTTAAACCTTACATCAACGTGTACCGATATATCTACCCAACCATGTGGAATTTTTGAAATTAGCTTGGAATCGAAGATTATTTTTTCACACAAATTAGTAGGAACTTGTTCACAGAATAATTTAATTAGTCATAGATACAAATCCGCAGTCGGTAAACAAAACCAACATGGTGAATGTCGCATTTATTTTAAATCATGATTCTTAATCTTGTGGTAGTCGGTATTCGATATATTCTTTAGATTTTGTATACTGCTTGTCCTGATAACCGTTACTAGATAATGGCTAACGGTGTATAGATCAGAAGACGAATTCGATGCGTTGATTATATTTATTATGGTGCCTACACATAGATCAGCGAAACCACAGGTACGCGAAACGAAACTGATATGCGAGTACCGAAGAGTAAGCCAGTCAGTGCGCACGTGAGTAGGATTAAAATGTACAAATCCCTATACATAGGAAAATGAACGAGTCATCGAATTATCTAAGAGGTTAATACATTCAAGCGAATAGAAGGTGTTAGTAGGACATAGATGGAATTAAAGCATGACTACATCAGCTGCGCACTGATTGGCTAATTTCCTATCCAATCAGCGCCTGATCGATTCTTGGAGAACAACAGTGTAGAAAATTCTCGTGTTGTTAGCTGCACGCTGATTGGCTAAATCTAATCCAGTCGATCACATGAATTTCTATCCAGAAACTTCTCATGAGAAATGCTATAAAGAAACTAACGTTGTGTCTTTTTTTGCCTTCGCCTTCGGCTTCCTATTTCCATTTAACCTTGCTATTTCGAATATAATCTTTTCCTGTTCAACCGTGTTTTTGATTTCTTTGGAACTTGTCCAGTGTATAGTGGTCACAGAATACTAAGCAATAGGAATTAGCTGGGAATTATTTAAGTAAGCGTTACAACAGAATGAATATGCGGATATGTGGTAAGCAATTCTCATTCATGTCTGCTCATACGAACGTAACAATGAATAAGTTAGTCAAAAAGGGCTAAAACCAGATTAACTGTGAACAAACTCAAATGTATGTGTTGGGGATGTTAGATCCCAAAAACTCGCTTGATAGATTCCTTATTTTGGATTTCACGTTTGCCAACATGGGCTGATCAGTTGAAATTGAGATCACACATTTCCTACCAGGAAAATCCATGGCCGTGATTAGCTGCTGTTTATTTTAGTGTGCTATTTTTGTGACTGTCCCAATGACGTCTCTATGATCTATAAATAAATGAGAGTTGTATGCTTGATTGTACTGTGATTGCTGGGTGTTTGTAGAATATACTTTCTACGCTTACCAAGACTTCTGTTTTACTGTTTGGATTCAAGGTAGCCTACCTGGACTCTGGTAAAAGTTTCGTTCGCGTTTATAGACTAAGGTAAACTCGTAATAGCCTCAAGCCTACTTAGTGACGAACCCAATAATATGGAGACACCACAACCCTGTCTGATTTCTCATATTTAAATTGTACTGTCATTGACATTGTGAAGTTTTGTCTTTTCCTTTTTCTATGGCTTGTTTAAATCTTATCAGTTGGTTATTATGTTCTGAATGTTTGTGTGAAAACGAACATTGAAATGGCGGTACACTACGACAAACAGAATTTACTCAAATGGAAGGAGTTTTGTTTGCTACTGTTGATCACGAAGTACTACTCTCGATCAGGAAAAAATACACATGTCAAAGAGAGAGACTATCTGAAGTATTGTGCTGATGATGATGTTGTGTTCAGTAGAAGAACAATCAAAGCTCCACAACCAAGCTCCAAAACAAACCACCATCACAGAGATTAATTCAAAAAATACAAACCTTCATATTCAGAGTAAGAATATTGATCAACACTTGTTAATAATGAGAAAGATCAAATTCATTTTGGTTATATTTTCCCCTCGGATCTTCTTCAGCATAATATTTATTTACTAAATGTATTGTTCAAAGAATCAAAATAGGAACCTAACTGAAAATGGTTATCTATTGCAGTCTGTTTGTTTGAAGATGCGTTATGGTTAGTATCTTTTGAATTTATTTTTCTGAGGGACGGCACACTCTAATCCCATACCCTAACTTGCAATTCTCAACATCTAAGGGAAAGAGGCCTACTAAGGAACAGTTTGCATCGTAAATTGGAAAAAACTGAATAACAGTGGGATGGAAAACTGGAAAGGAGAACCTAATGACAGAGTTGTTTGGCCAGTCCTATTCGACAGCCTACGCTCCACGAAGGGTAACGATATTCGGAGGCTGCTGTAACGTTATCGCAAAGAATTCTATAATCATGGAGGGCTCACAGTAAATTTCAGGTGTGATTAGAAGGATCAAATCATTCAACATTTGAAAGAACATTTAGTCATTCATCTGTTCCCAAGTTCAATCTATCTAGAATTTCAGCTGGAACGCCACAACATGAAAAGTCTACTAAAAACTTCAAGAACATTCAGGAACCTAATCGACCATAATCGATGAATAACTAAAATGTTTTTTTTTAAAAAAAACCCCACAAAAACAACAACTCTTACTTCATTATTTGAAAGGAATAACCATAAATGAATATCTTCACTTTGCAATTCAACTGTTCCACCAAATGTCAATACAAATAAACTAGCTTGTTTAATTGTATTACGATCATAAAAGAAACTAAAATCAAATGTCAGTTTATCATGTCCGAATTGAGTAAACATTTCTGGTACTGTGAAAATAAAAGAAAAAACAAACAACAGGAGAATAAATTGTGTACACACCTGCATGCAAAAACATGTCAACTTGATGTTGCTTGAATTATTATTATTATTACGAGTTTAACCCGTTAGTCCGAAGAGGTGAGAGCAAGGATTGAGGATCCGGTGACACGATATGCTACCACGAATCCGATTGTCCCAATAACCCCCATATTGAGTAAAAATTAAGAAGACAAGACTTGAATGTGAAGTAGAACTTGTATTCTACAAGCATTCAAAAAGTACGAGGTCCCAGTACAGAAGAGAATCAGGATCCCGGACTAGGGATCCGGGACCGGGTCCTGGTCATAAAACGTTACAGATAATGCCCATCTATACAGTTAGGTCGAATAGGAAATAGCATCGAATTCTGTGACATTGACAGTTAGGACAACCAATAAGAAACAACACTGGAGCACGTGACATTGCTATTAATAGGAATCGGCCAATAATTCTCTTAGGATATTGGATGAATATCCTAACACAAATCGAAACATATGAGTTGGAAGGATTAGTGTTGAGGACGTTCGATCCTTAGAACTCACTTGGAAAAAGTCCCAATTTTGGATTTTTTTAAGTTTTCGCGCATGGGCTGACCAGTTGACCTTGAGATCACATTTCCCGCTAGAAAAATCCTTGACTGTAATTGGTTAATGTGTTATTTTAGTACGCTATTTGTGTGACCCTCTCAAGTGCCTTTCTATCTGGTATATTTAAACTCGATTTTTGTGCTTGAAGGACCTCATATTTTCTGGGTGCTTGTAGAATACACTTTCGATGTCCTGTCAAGATTTCTTCCTCTACTTAGTGGGGCCTTGGGACGGTCGGATCAGAGTAGTCTATCGTGTCACTCGATCATCTGTCTTCACTCTCGTTTACTGACTGAAGGTGAACTCGTAATTGCAATTTCAAGCATATCAATTGACGAACATAAAAATTAGGGTTAGAGTATTCTTAGCTAATTAATACTGGTGACTCGAGAATATGCTTGTATAAAATTATCAATATGCTAACGTTTTTATTATCATGATTTTTTTCACACTCAGCTTGGTTCGCTTAACGTTATTCAAGTATTGTTCTGATGTTCAGGATTCGTTGTACATTGTTCGAAGAATACTTAATCAATAACAGTCACCTGGATCGTAAAAGACAGAGAATTAATGGAGAAACAATTGACTTCTCAGTGTTATGCTCTCTGGAGTTGATTGGTTGAAAGAATAAGATTTTGTTGTCATTGAGGACAATTATCAGTGATTAGATATTGTAGAGATGAACTTTTTAATTATTTCACAAGAATTATATCAATTTACTTTGATGATTTCGTTTATAGTCGGTTATCATTGTAGGTGGATCTGATGGAGATGTGAAGGCGTGGATCAGCAAAGCAAGGGCTGCATTTCTACAGTTGAAAAATATCTGGAACTCCAAAAAAATATCAATCAACACCAAAATCAGGATTTTCAATACAAATGTCAAGACAGTTCTACTGTATGGAGCGGAAACTTGGAGAACTACGAAAGGCATCATGCACAAGATACAAGTGTTTATTAACAGTTGTCTACGCAAAATACTTCGGATTCGTTGGCCAGACACCATCAGCAACAACCTACTATGGGACAGAACAAATCAGATTGCAGTGGAGGAGGAAATCAGGAAGAATCGGTGGAAGTGGATAGTACACACACTAAGAAAGGCACCTAACTGCGTGACGAGACAAGCCCTCACATGAAACCCTCAAGGTCAAAGAAAAAAAGGAAGGCCAAAGAACACATTACATCGAGAAACGGAGACAGAAATGAGAAGAATGAACAAAAACTGGACAGAATTGGAAAGGGAAGCCCAGGACAGAGTTGGTTGGAGAAAACTAGTGGGCGGTTCATGTTCTATTTGGGGGTAACAGGCATAAGTAAGTAAGTAATCAATAGAGATTTCATTTTTTTCATTTATTAATCTTCTCTCATATAGGTTTAAACATTAAACCTTAAGTCAACTAGTTTACTGAACGAAAAATACTACTACCCAACTACTCAAGACAAATAAATTAGAGATAAGTTCAAAAATTACTCCCGTCACTGAAATTTGAGTACACTAACCACCGCAACCATTCTTCTACAGAAAATTCTACAGATGAGCATTCAATTGACACAATCCACTTTCTTTGAACCTGTTATAACAAATCTTAGTAGTTGACATTTAAAAATCAAAAAACTTAACAAAACAAGTAATACTACTTACAACAATATAAGTAGCTGAACAATTACTATCTAAAACTATATGTATCAACTTACTCTGTAATTTGATCAGACTATACTTTAAATATTGATCAATACTTTCAGGAATATGAACAATAGTTGGATTTAAACTGAAACAATCATAACAAATTGGTCGATTACTAGTCCGTAAAGATAAACTAACATTATTAAAGATTAATTCATCGATACATCCGAACAGACCATAAATATTTGACTGTGTATACAAACATATGTAGAGAAAAGAAGACAAGAAAAGTCACGTGAATATTTTTAAAAAAGTCATTTGATTGGATGATAAATAGGTGCAGAATATTACGCGGATAAATAATTTTGAAATGTAAGAAGTGTCGGATGCAGAGACAGTAGATGAATGGTATATTGCTTACAATCATTACTTACTTACTTACTTACTTACTCCTGTTACCCCCTATGTAGTATAGGCCGCCCACCAGTTTTCTCCAACCAACTCTGTCCTGGGCTTCCCTCTCAAGTTCTGTCCAATTTTCGTTCATTCCTCTCATATCTTTCGCTATTTCTCGGCGTAATGTGTTCCTTGGCCTTCCTCTTTTCCTTTGACTTCGAGGGTTCCATGTGAGGGCTTGTCTTGTGATGCAGTTAGGTGCTTTTCGTAATGTATGTCCTATCCACTTACACCGCTTCTTCCTGATTTCTTCCTCCATTGGAATCTGGTTTGTTTTCTCCCACAGTTCGTTGTTGCTGATAGTGTCTGGCCAACGAATCCGAAGTATTTTGCATAAACAACTGTTCATAAACACTTGTATCTTCTGGATGATGGCTTTGGTAGTTCTCCAAGTTTCCGCTCCATACAGTAGAACTGTATTGACATTTATATTGAAAATCCTGATTTTGGTTTTGGTTGAAAATTGTTTGGATTCCAGATATTTTTCAACTGTAGAAACGCAGCCCTTGCTTTGTCAATCCGCGCCCTCACATCTGCATCGGATCCACCTTGGTTGTCGATTTTGCTGCCAAGATATGTGAAGTTGTTAACTTCCTCCAAGGCATCTCCATTAAGAGTGATTTGGTTGGTGCATGTTGTGTTGCATCGGAGAATTTTGCTTTTTCCTTTATGTATGTTGAGACCTACTGCTGCAGAGGCTGCCGCTCACAATCATATGAAATGATTATCAGTATGTCGTGTTACACAACAATATTAGGATAAACAAAGGATTTAATGATCCTTCATCTTCAATGATTCCTTAGAGGTTACCAGTTTGTGATGGTAGCCAGTATGAAATGTAAATATTTCCATAAATGCTGTAAGTAATCGAGGTGGATGACTGTGTCACAACCAACAAGGTTGGACTTCACCGGTTATGGCTTCTTTGAGAATTTCCTCATGAAGCCAGTGGTCACTAGTGAGCACATGAGCACAAGGATATGGAGGTTGTTGAGTTTCACGAACCGATCATTGGAAATCTAGAGACACTGGATGATGAGTCACATGTTAGTGTAGTGATTTCATTTTTACAAATGCAAACACAATCAAATGAACCGGTGAAGGTTTTTAGCGAACGTTTTGTTTATTCGCGGTCGCCATCTTGGTTTTTCTGCTCTATAAAGTCACACATTTCTCTGGTACGATTTTGGTATTCTTTGACTAACAACAAAATCGTCAGCAAATATACTTATTTCATCTGGACTATCCTGTCATCCTCTTTTTCCTCTCTTCTAATACAAGACTTCGTAATAGATTGGTAGACACGTTCATAGTCTTCGACTCGAACATCGTACATTAGGATAAAACGGTCGTCCAGGGCTTTTTGGTTTTCATTCTTGTTGGTCTAACACTGAGTGATTTATGATTTTAATAAAACTCAACAATCTCCATAACCGTGTACTGAAATTTTCTTCATCGACAAAACCAAACACTTAAGTTTCAGACTAAAAATGTTACTAATTTAAGCTTATTTCGCTTTCAAAGACTTAATCATAGTCGGTGGCCTATGTTCCTCGAGGAATAACAGGCTTAAGTAGGTAAGTAAGTAAAGATCTAGTCGAATAATTAGTCCCTTATGAACAGTACCCGTTTTTATGATAAATAAACTATTTAATTAGTTTGAAATAAGTTCTTCAACGAAAATATATCGATACATGGATTATATATCGAAGTGGTTCTTTCGTTTCTAGACCTTCGACTATACGGATGCGAAACATGGCCGTTAAGAGTAGAGGACTTCCTGAGGTTACTAGTCTTCGATCATAGGTGTATCCGAGGCATTGCTCGTGTATCGTGGGACAACCGTATCAGCAATTCTGTCTTTAGGAAACGAGTTCTAGGTAGAGATGGCAAATCAATAGATGAAGCATTGAAACTTCATCATTTGAGGTGGTTGGGACATGTGTTACGTATGCCTAACCACCGACTGCCTCGACGAGCTATATTTTGTGGTGTAGGAGTAGGTTGGAAGAAAGTTAGGGGCGGCCAGACCAAAACATGGCAGAAATCCATGAAGTCGCTGACAACTAGACTGAGTTATGTTGGTAGATGTAGGCTATCTGGTTGGGGTCCGCGAGACGAAAGTCACCAATGGTTAGAGACCTCGAATGACATGGCTCAGATTCGTTTGCAATGGCACAGGTGCATCCACTCTTTGTGTGCTTTTTAATTCTAACCTTCTGAATTCCTCATAATCTCTATCTTTCTCCTTTTAAATTAATCTCACTGAATCATACTTTTCGAATCATATCTTTGCTCCGTAATCTTCTCCATTGCTGCTAATAATTCTACTATGGCTATGACTCTTGGATTTGAACTGACAGTTACGTCTCTGTGCTGACGCGGTATGGCAACCTGAACTAATGTACTTATGTACGAAGTTCTGTATCTGTCTGTCTGTCTGTCTTTCGAGACCTTCGTAATCGTTTCCAACACTTGATTTTACAAAAAATGCAGTTTGTAATGATGATAAGAGAATGGAATACCAATGTAACACCTACCAAGAATTTAACACTGACGAATTATAGATAAATTGCACTTGTGAGCACTTGTGAGAGGATGAAGTTAATTATGAGTCAATAACTAATAAAAATAACCACATTTTCTCAAAACTCCAGGTAATTAACACTCGTTAACCAAACACAAAACTTTTATTCACTAATATACTAAAACCGTATTGTCTACTTGTACATATAAATCTATTCATAATTACAGCAAGCCAAGTTTCTCAGTAAACAACTTTCCTAATCTACATGAAATTTGAAGCGGATAGAAATTATACTACTTAATATTAGTAAACAGTATAAAAATAGTGTCAAAAGTTTTATTGCTTCATTTTGATGAATCAGTTGACTCACAAGTTGACCATTTTCTTGTAATTGTAAACTAAGCGACCTAGGTATTCCTCCAATAAATACAACCAACGGTAAATTGTATATTTCCACAGGTGGTAGCCAAAAATGACGATGATCAAATAATAACTACCAAAGAATATCAAAAATAACAGAAAATTATATGAACATATAGTCAAATGAGTTACGTGTTGTGATAGTTATATTATCATGATAACGACACGATTAAGTTAACTAAATCTCGCGTTACTTTATTATTCACGAGTTGAATAGTGGTCGGGCTTACCCATCGTGATGATTCAATCAAGCTATATTGGCTGGAACATATGTTTCTGAAGGTTCTACCATGCCAGGCAGGTCGATTGAAGAACGTTAAGACTAAAAGCAACTACTCAAGGTCTGAAGGCAAAGTCGTACTGTTGACTGCAGAGGGGTGTGGCCGCAGTAATGTGTGTCCCTTGGACATTCAGCATCTGCAGCGATGCTGCCTTCTTACAAGGAAGGAAGGAGTTAGAAAAGTTTGACAGTCAAAATGTCACACCTCACCTTACCTCACGGATTTCCGTAACCGGCAGTAAGGCCATTTGAAAAGCGGAGCTAACATGTCAAAAACATCTCATATAAAAGGCCGTGCTTGACTAACTTCATGCAGCTGTCACTTGGGCTCTGCGATCACGCTACAAAGTCGCTCAGACCAACGCTAATCCAGTTTTCTCAAGAAACACCCTTCCATGATGTAGGTAGCCGGGAAGTGACATCCGCCATCATATCCATAAATGCCAAACTGTGACCAAACTAGTCACAATTAAATCCTTACCACATGTCGAATTATTCTTTGAAGTGGAAAGAAATGTCTAAGTTTACTTAGTGAAAGTCAAGTTAATCTTTTGATTTTGGGGTTATACGAGATACGACGGTTTCTCGTTATCAACTGACACCGGCTATAATGCAGAAAGGTTTATTTTAAGTATTCCATGCTAGAATACAGTTAAGTGTTTAATTTATCGAATTACGGTTAGGATTTTCATCATGTACTGACATCATCTTGATATGTTCATCACTAGGTACGCTTGAAGCTATTACGAGTTCACCTTAGTCGATAAACGCAAACGAGACAATTACCTGCGTCCAAATAGGCTACATTGAATACCAAGCTGAAGATAAAAAAGCTTTGTAAGCGTAGAAAGTATATTCTACAAATACCCAGCAATCTTAATACAATCAAGCACACAACTCTCGTTCATTTATACATCATAGAAACGTCCTTGGAACAGCCACGAAAATAGCAGACTAAAATATACAGCACCCAATCACAGCCATGGATTTTCCCGGAGGGAAATGAAATCTCAAGGTCAACTGATCAGCCCATGCTGGCAAACGTGAAATCCAAAATAAGGCATTTATCAAGCGAGTTTTGGGAATCTAACATCCCCAACACATCTATGAAGCAATGCTTTGCCATCTTACCGCTTACAAACTTAAGAAACCTAAAGTGGAGATTGGGACTGAGAGTTTGGAAGCGGAAATAGTATCTAACTTTGCTAAAACATTCTTGTCAACTCATCGAATCACAACAATTATTTTAGTATACGATTTATTTTGGAAGGTGTTTTGCTTTGTAATTTCACTTAAGCATCATTGTAAGTTCAATCTTCGATTTACAAATAGAAATTTCCATTGATTTCAAGCATTTTTACAGAGCATATATTGCCAATTCTTGCTTCGTTATTAGAAAAAATACAAGTTATCTATCGTTCCATTTTAAATTTAGCACAAAATACATTAAGTGTGTATCTTAGTTCTGATTGGTTCACTCAAGGTCATCAGTAGGCTATAGATTTTTTATCGAGGTTAATTTAAAAAGGGAATTTAATAGTACTACATGAAACGTAGTGTATCACCACTGGGGGTGAATAGAGCAACCAATGAAAAGCTGTCTAATTTTGTTAAGAACTTGTCAGTTGTGCTTTGCTGATATAAAACTATATGATAATCATTTTTAGATTCTCAGAGAACACTCACCCAATAACCATCAAAAACATCCTGATCACAGCTAAAACTTACTATTTCAACTGTGCATTTATGATAGCAATAGGACGACATCCTGTAGTGTAGTGTAGTGTACACTAATGTTTGCAGGCTACATGGTTTGTCCATGGCTTTTAGACATACTAATGAACCTTCCATCTTCTCAAGTTGTTATTCATCTGTCTATACACCTTGTCATTTATTTGTATACAAATGAACTGCCCTTTAATCACTGCCATTGCACAACCGAAGTTCACCGACGACAGAAGTTTAATGAAACACTTATTTCTTTATAGCCGTATTCAATTATTCATCGAAATTGGAGTCAAATCACAGACTATTAAGAAAAGCAACGTTATTACATTTCGATGTACTGAATTTTGTGTATGGGGAACATGCTGGTGTATTGTTATGAATGCACGTAAACACGTCAACTTGATATACTTGAACTATTACGAGTTTATCTAGTCGGTAAACGAGAGCGAGGATCGAGGATCCGGTGACATGACATGCCACCCCGAATTCGATTATACCAATAACGCATATTGAGTAAAAACAAGAAAACAAGACTTGACATGAAGTAGAACCTCCCAGTTCAGAAGAGGCTAAGGATCCCGGACTAGGGATCCGGGACCGAGTCATAGAACGTTACAGATAATGCGTATTTATACATTTTGGTCGAATAGGAAACAGTATCGAAGTGTGTGACATTGACAGTTGAGACGACCAATAGGAAGTAACATTTGAAGTGTCATTGATAGTCAGGACAACCAATAAGAAACAACATTTGAGGTATGTGACATTGATATCTAGGACTATCATAAAAATTGACCAGTAGGAATTTACCTATAGGAATTGACCAATAATTCTCTTAGGATATTGGATGAATATCCTAACATGTATGTAATTTCAACGGTCGAAACTGTCATATATTAATTACTATTGATCGTGTTGTAGTTTGTCCACTAGAAACCTCAGTTTTAAGTAAATCTTACCGATCCATTCTATACCGATGGACACTACTCATTGAGTGAGATCACTGGTAGTGTGGGAAGCACTTGAAAGAGTCATATCTCATATTTCTCTACAGACTTTAACGATATTTCTACCTCAATCAACCAATTATTTTATCATTTGAGATCAGATGTCAATCATTGTTAGACCACCATTAGAACACTGGAAGTTCTGGACTGCTATTTCGTCCGAATATAGGACTCATCAACAGTATGCATTCACGAACCCTACTCGCGTACATCGAACCCCAGGCCCTTCAGTTTCAGGTGTGAACATTGTTCATCCAAATTAAAGTCATACACTCAAGCTCCCAGAAATGACAACATCAATAATAACAACAGAAAAATAACTCTCCTTACTTGTATTCCATTCTCAACACCTGGACCATTTTGTTCTTCAATTGAATCAACCGACTGAAAGATTAATTTCAATCGATGCCATGTTGTATCAGTGATAGTAATCAATGGACTTGACCATAAAAGTTTTTTTTGATCAGCATAAAGAAAAATTTGATTTTTTGATAAAACCACATATAGATTTCCATTGTCTGGACCAAAATTAAATGTAGCTAGTAAACTGTAAACTTGTTCATCAATTTCTTCCATATTATTTGAAGATGATGTAATAGTCTGTTCACCAATTAGTGCTGTGTTAGCTAATTGTGCACGAAAACCGATTGTAAATTCAAATGGTGCAGTTCTTTCAAAAAACAAAAGCAAGAATAATAATAAACTAGAATAATTAGGGAAAAAATATGAAATATTTAATTTAATGTGGAAGTATTGGATAGCCGTTTCGTCCTAGTATGGGATTCATCAGTTGCAGTACACATCCACGAATCCTGCTCCCTGAAGGACTTAAACCCAGAACCTTTGGTTTTGTGTACGAATGCCTAACATGCGAGTGGTAAGAGTCGTGGATGCTCACTGTTGGTGAGCCCCATATACCAGGACGAAACAGCCGTCCAGTACTTTCAGGTTTCTAATGGTAGTCTAACATTGATCGATCGATTGACAGTCTCCACAATCCTTTCATGAAAAAATAATTTACCGCCCTACTCAAATGTTCAACTTACTGATGTGTCATTTTATTCAACAATTGTTGTAATATACCTTTAGTACTTACTTACTTACTTACTTTCGACTGTTATCCCCAAAGGAGCATAGGCCGACCAACAGTTTTCTCCAACCAACTCTGTCCTGGGCTTCCCTCTCAAGTTCTGTCCAATGTTTGTTCATTCTTCTCATATCTTTCTCTATTCCTCGGTGTAACGTGTTCCTTGGCCTTCCTCTTTTCCTTTTGCCTTGAGGGTTCCATGTGAGTGCTTGTCTTGTGATGCAGTTAGGTGCTTTTCGTAGTGTGTGTCCTATCCACTTCCACCGATTCTTCCTGATTTCCTCCTCCACTGGAATCTGGTTTGTTCTCTCCCACAGTTCGTTGTTGCTCATGGTGTCTGGTCAACGAATCCGAAGTATTTTGCGTAGACAACTGTTAATAAACACTTGTATCTTCTGGATGATGGCTTTGGTAGTTCTCCAAGTTTCCACTCCTTACAGTAGAACTGTCTTGACATTTGTATTGAAAATCCTGATTTTGATTTTGGTTGAAAGTTGTTTGGAGTTCCAGATATTTTTCAACTGTCCGCCAGTAGAACCTTCGGGGCTACTGCCGGTCCCAAGCCCGGGTAAAGGAGAAGGGTTGGACATGGGGTTGGCGACTCCATTCCGTCGAAATCTAACTTGCCAAAAAAACGCTAACCAGAAAAAAAATATACCTTTAGTGTTCTCAAGTTATTGTTAATGAAAAATGAATCTTTTTAGTCAGTTTCATATCATATATGACTTACTTACATATTTAAGCCAGTTACTCCGCGTGGAGCACAGGCTGTCAACCAGAATTTTCCAACCAACTCTATTGTTCGCTCACATTTCCAGCTATTGCCGAATGTTATTCATTCTTCTGATGTCTAGTTCCAATTATTGGCCTATAATGTGTTTTATGTTAGTTTGTCTCTTCTCCTATGGTCTTTGAAGATTCCAAGTTAGGACTTACCTCGTGATGTATGTGTTATTCGCCTCCAGAGGTTTCTCCTAATTTCTTCCTCGGCTGAAATTCGGTTTATCTTCCTACACAGTATGCAGTTGCTGATGGTGTCTGGCCCCAATGGATCCTCAGTATCTCACTTAGACAACTATTAAATCAACACTTATATTTTTCGTATGATGACTTTCGTTGTACTACAAGTTTACTATCCATGGAATAGAAGTATTTTAACGTTTTCATTGAAAATTATGACTTTGGTGTTGGTTGAAAGACAGTTTTTTTGAGTTCCAGATGTTCTTCAGTTGTAGAACTGTTGTCTTTGCTTTTCTAATCCGTGTCCTCATATCTGCGTCAGGTCTACTTTATCTATCAACGATTCTGCTCAGATACGTAGACGTTTCTACATCTTCCCAAACTTCTCCGTCAAGTGTGATTTGGTTGGTACACACTGTGTTTTATCTAATGGTCTTAGTTGTTCGGTGTATGCTGAAACCCGCCGTTGCAGATGCTACTGTTACAATTGCCATCCTCACCTACATTTGTTGCCATCTGTGGAGGAGGAGAAGAGCTAGGTCATCTGCTAGACGACATAGTTAACATACACAGATGGTAATTTTTCTGACATGTATTAAGTTGCAGTCATGTGTGACTGAAATATGCAACCTTACACGCATTGAGTTAGAAAGATGAATACAGTCAAACGTACATCTGTTTTGTACCTTTGTCATTTGATTGGTTAATGAGTATATATTCGTAATGATGTGATTGTTTACTGTTGACCTGAAACCTGTCATTGTCTTCGCCTTTATTTCATTGTATCCCCCTTTGATCTGTTTCTTGATCCTGTCACCTATGATTTTTCTGATTGGTTGATAAACTGGGTTAATGTCAATGAGTTTGTCGATTGACCTGAGTGCCAAGCTTTTAAAAATTCTCTACTGTGTTTATGTGTACATACTTACTTCGCTTGTTGAGATGGTGGAGAAAACTTGTGGCTCAGCTGCATTATTGTGGTGGTGTTTCGTTCTCTGAGCCGGTTGTTTTGGTTCTGGAGCTTTCATTGTTCTTCTGCTGAACAACATCATAAGCACAAACTTCAGATAGAAGAAGTGAAGTATTCGAATTTCTCCATGTTTGACTTGTAGCTTGTTCTATTAACCTCGATCTTGATTGGTTGTTGTTGACCTTAAACCTGTCGTTGTTTGTACATTTGTTTTGATTGTATCCCCTTTTTGATCTGTTTCTTGATCCTGTGTCACCTATGATTTTTCTGATTGGTTGATAACTTAGGTCAATGTCGATGTGTTTATTGATTGCTGACTGACCTGAGTGCCAAGCTTCTAAAAATTCTCCAGTGTTCTTTTTCTTCCCCTTACCCAGTATATCCACATTGTCCTAATCGACTGTATGTCCATAATTGTCGGTATGTATTGATATAAGCGAAGAGTTGTCGTGGCGTTTGACTGATAATTGGTGTTCACGTAAACGAAGCTGAAGAGGCCGTTCACTTTGTCCTATGTAGTGTTTGTCACAGTGTGAGCAATTTATTTTGTAGATGATATTTGGCTTTTCTTCATTTGTCATTTTATCCTTTGGTCTACAACATAGGATTAATTGAAGTGATTCTGTTGGTTTGTGTGCTGCACCTATTCCGATTGGTTTCAGTAGTCGAGCCGTATGCTCCAATATGTCTTTGATGTATGGTAGGATGATCCGTTTATTGATTCCTGTACTTGATTTCGGTTCTGTTGACTGTTTTGGTTGAAGTTTTTTGATGAAGTTGCGTGGGTAGCCGTTTTTTTGGAAGATAGTCATAAGATGTTTTTCCTCGTTTTTTAGTGCCTCATGTGTGCTGCAGTGTGTCTCCGCTCTCTTGAACAACACATTTATGCAGTTAATTTTGTGGGTTCTTGCATCGTTGCTACCGTAGTTGAGAATTACGTCTGTGTGGGTTGGCTTCCGAAATACTTGAGTTTCTAGTTTTCCTATGTTAGTTCTGATGATTAGTACATCCAGGAATGATACACACTGTTGTTTGATTCCTTTTCCATCGTTAATTTAATGTCATCAAAGACGTTGTTGATTCGCGATTGTAGATGTTCTCCAGCTCATTCCTTTTGATAATAACGAATGTGTCGTCTACATAGCGAACCCACATTTTTGACTTGATCACTGGCAAAATCGACGCTTCCAGTACGTACGTACGTACGTACGAAGTTGTACACGGTAACTGACTGACACATATATATGTAAATATATACATCTTGAACAAGTTTAATTGAATTACAAAACTTACTGTTGTTGTACAATTGTACCAATATTACTAATTTCCCAATAGGAATCAGGATATTGATCAAACCAAGCTGTATTTTCAGCATTTTCAGTACAATCCTTTAGAAAAAATCAAAGCGGAAACAAAAAGGGCATATCACGATGAAGTCATAAACACAAACTGGATGAACAGTATGAATATACAAATATATGAAAGCAAGCAAGTGATCTAGCTAGCTAAACGTGTTAAAGTCTTGTTAAATGTGTTTACTCATGAAAATGTGCCCATTCAAACTACCTTGTGTTTAAATATGTTAAAAATTGAAAAAAACAACCCGCGAAAATCAACCATCATTTCAGGTTAAAAGAAAGCGTGAAACAAAAAACAAAACTACACCAATTAGTTAACAATCCCCAGATTTCCTTTTCTCCTCAAGATAAGACTGTTAAAAGTTGTTATAGTCTCGGTGTGTGTGTATGTGTGTGAGTTTTGGCAACCTTATTCACACATCCGAACTGATACTGACCCTATTGATCACGAATCGATGATTGTTAGACGACCACCATTAGAAACCTGGAAGCATTGTTTAGATAACGGTTTCGTCCCAGTATGAGACTCTATGGCACTACGCATCCACAATCCTCGCTTGCGGGACCTTCGGTCCTGAATGCAAACTCTTAACCTCTGAGTCGGAATCCAACGGTGCTAATGTCTAACTTCGATCAATCCAAAGTATTGCTCAACTCACTCCACTGTCTTCAGTGAGCACTGCTTCACACAGGAACAGAGTTGAACTCCACCGGTCACAACTTCTCACTAGAACTCAGAGAGTTTTTCTCACGAACCTAATCATCACTAGTGAGTAAGCACATGATAATTTTCATTACAGAGTTGTGTAGATCATTGAATTTCATTTGAAATCATGAATCAATCACTTTTAGATTATCACCATTAGAAATCCGGAAGACCTAGACATACAACCCTAAAAGTGAAAATCTTGTGGATACAGGATCACCAAAACTCGCCTGATAAATGTCTTATTTTGGATTTCACGTTTGCCAGCATGGGCTGATCAGTTGACCTTGAGATTTCAATTCCCACCAGGAAAATCCATGGCTGTGTGATTGGCTGCTGTGTATTTTAGTGTGTGCTATTTTCATAACTGTCTCAAGCACGTTCCTATGTTGTATAAATAAACGAGAGTTGTATGCTTGATTGTATTGTGTGATTGCTGGATGTTTGTAGAATATGCATTCTACGCTTACAAAGCCTTTTACTCTATTTGGGGATTCAAGGTAGCCTACCTGGACGCTGGTTCATTTTCTCGTTCGTGTTTATCGACTAAAGTAAACTCGTAATAGCCTCAAGCATACTTAGTGACGAGCGTAACAGAAAAATAATCATATTTGTTGATCAATCTAACATTTTACACAACCTCACTCCTTCCTTATGTTAATTTTTTTCCGATTACAGTTAAATAAAACCCAATTAGGCGTGGTATATGAACATGTTTAGCTTAGCATTGAATGATCTCAAAATGGAAAGAGTGATATCCTCATTTTGTGACATATTTTTTTATTAAAGTCGCGAAAAATTCTAATATATATATAGATAATCACCCTTGGTAGAATATAACAAAAGTTGTAGCATATGGTGTTAGCTATCAGTAGTATACAGTGCAGTAAAAACCAATGCATTACTAATTAAAGAAAGTAAGTGGAGAATCACCCAATCACCCAAAAAAACGGTTCAAATATCATGATGCATGAATAATTGGATGTTTAATGCATTGAAGTGTTGTAGAAAGTAGAAAGAGAAAAGGGGAAAAATAAAATGAGTAAAAGTGTTTTTATTTTATAATAAATTAAACACAGTCCTATTGAGTTATAAAGAATATTGTTATGTCTCATTGAAATGATCTGCAATTGATCAGGCAGTCAAGATAGAGATATATCCGACTATATTACGACTATAAGAAGCTGTGTTATGGGGAAAAATTCATTCTCACCCCCTCCACTATTGACTTTATCCCCTGAGTGTAATGAGACTATAATTTGGTAGACAAACTAATCAGATTCAAGAGTGGCATGGGATTCATTCTTCTGTATAGTTAAGTAACTTTTTGGCAGCATCAGTGATGTCAGTTCATGATGAAAATCGTCACTCTAATTCCCAATCCTAACATTAAATCTCACTTCTAATTTCTTCCTCATACTAATTTATACCCTTCTTAAATATGTGTCACTCAGCGATTGTCCATAAATGATATTCTCGCATCAAGAAATATTCTTCTTTCGTGGGGACGAGAAATAGTCCTTGTGTTACAGAATCAATTCAGTTTGTCGTAGAATGCAAGCCATTTATCGAATGAAATCTGATTCATTCATTCCAAAATCAATAGGGAATAAAAACATACGGTATGCGGTACATGATTCCTGATATCACTGAGATTTTCGCTTTACAAATAGAAACTTCATTCATCCCTTTCCTACTTGAGTTAAGATAAATCACAATCTCTAAAAACGACCTCGAATCTCTATGAAATGGTCTAATTCTTACAACAAACTGGTACATCGTTGTCTCCGTTACATTTCACTTCTCAAAGTTATCTAGTCATACTAGTTTCAGGTAATATTTTGCTATTTCGTCAAAGAAATTACAAGTCATTTCCGTAAAAATAGTACGTTTATTGTGATTTTTATATCCACTTCAGTTTTATCATATATATTGCGCTATACTACTCACAAATATTCAGTAGCTTATATCAATAACAGTCATTTTTGAGGCGCATGGTTCAAATTATTTCTTCATTGTTTTGCATGATTGTTGTCAACATTTGTATCAGTCTGTAAGATTAAGTTCACCCGCTAGTGTAATTTTATTCCTTTAAGATTAATTTAATGGTGTATTTTTCATTTATGATGAGCTTGTTGGTCAGTTGTTCATTTGTAATAATTTTCTTACTTTCTGTATATAGTTCTAGTTATGAATTATTGACTGAAGTCTTGACTAGATTGAACAATATGTATGTGTATAGCTTCGAGAACTCGATCATATTCATCAGAGTTGACTACTGACTAACACTGGAATCCAGGATTTCAATTATATCTTATTTTTAAATCATCAGCCGGAGGCATATGAACCTAAACCGATAGCTACTCTCAGACTCAAACCCAATACCCAGAGCTATAAACACTAACACGCAGCCCAATAGGCTATTTAAATCAAGTAATCAATACCTTGTACAATGAGATTGAATTTATATTCATCTGAAATGGTTTTTTAAATCTTCTTAAAAAAATATTTCAAGACTGACATTTTGTCAGCATCCAGTGAGGATTGTTTCAATATTCTCAATAAATCATAAGTAAATAAACAGAGATGGATAGTGATTAGAAGTGAAATTTATGATGCACGTTGTAGCTGCTTGTCTCAGACTTTGGACAAACTGATTAATCGATTTTTATCGAATTACTGCTGTTCACTTGTCATTCCACCTTGTCAATTATTCATCAGCTATAAGTTTGACTGCTTTGATTTGAGTGTGTATGCATGCTTACTTCGTTTGTCAAATATCTAGCTAATTTATATCTGATTGTAAATATTTAGTCTTGCCCATATTACACTGGATTGACTCACTCCTCTTCTGCACTTCTCTTCGCTTTCCTACGTTTTGCCGTCATGTCTGCCTACGTGAACAATTGCATAAAATAAGTTTTTCCTCAAAACCTTTTAATAACCATCGTCTCACAAACGGAGTTCACTTAAGAATAACGTGTGGAAATTACGTGAAAGAATTATTTCATGTGCATATTCAATTGTAATTTAATCCCGTATCGTTAAAAGTTAACTTCGCCTCTAGCCCCTCTGGGGCTACTGCCGGTCTCAAGTTCGGATAAAGTGGGAGGGTTGGGTTTGGAGTTAGCGACCCCATCCTGTAGGAAACTAACTTGCCAAGAAAATGCTAACCAGGGAAAAAATAATACATCCAGCAAACTGGTCCCAAACAGAGGACTAGAAACGTGTCTTGATTTAAACAACCAGCCACCATCCATGTCTGCTTAAAAAATTCTAGCAACCTATTGATAATATTCTAATCAACCACTCCGAATGTACATAAGTCAAAAGAGACTACTGATGAATCCCATCCAATACTAAACATGACTATTATTTCAGAATATCAGTCAGTAATCATTTTTTGCCTGTGTAGAAATATTACAAGAAATCAATCATCATAAGAAACTGTATTTTCTAACTTACTGTGATTTTGTTCAATGTTCAAGTCTATTATTGATAACAATTGATTGAATTTTGATGGTAGATAGAAGATATATATATGTACAAGTGAATTCATCATGTATCATGTGACTAGTTATATATATATATATATATATATATATATATATATATATATATATATATATATATATATATAAATGTCTGTAATGTTTTTGACAACTGATTGCAGGCTATTAACTGACAATTCACTTTAGTACTTACTATAAGCCTATTAATATTGCCAATCAACTGACAGGTGAATAAGAGACTATACAATGTTGTTATTACTTATATGGTGGATGCTATTTAGAAGATTACTTATGAGTAGTATGCAGGTGAGTGTCACCTACAAATTGCTACAAGAGGTCAAATGGTTTTTAGAGACTGAAGTGTACAGCAGCGTGATTAGAAAACGATCAGTAACCTGACTGTATTACTCAATATGAAAGTAGATGATTCAAAACTATGTGCGCATAGTTCGTAAACAAACGGTGTCCCCGTCGACAGCAGTGAGTACCACCGACCCTGCCTTACTCTTGGAATAAAACAAGAAATCTGGATGTCTAGCTATAAGTGATTCACTTCCAGGCAATCACACATTTAAGCCCATTCAGTTTGTAATATTGTACAATCAGTACTATGGTTTGATAAATGTCTCAATGCCGACACAATTGAACTTCATTGGTCACAACTTGTTGATTGTTATGTGAAGTGAAGTACGAAAAACACTTCATTACTATTCAAGTGACAATGGTAGACTACATTAACTTGGTGAACCATGAAGGCCATCATCCAGAAGATACAAGTATTCATCAACAGTTTTCTACGCAAAATAATTCGAATCCGTTAGTCAGGCACCATCAGCAACAACCTAGAGTGGGAGATTCCAGCGGAGGAAGTAATTAGGAAAAAGCTCTGGAAGTGGACAGGACACACATTAAGGAAAGCCCTCACTTTGAAAACTCAAGGCCAAAGGATAAGTAGAAGACCAAAGAACACATTAAGCTGAGAAACGGAAACAGACATAAGAAGAATGAGCAACCATTAGACAGAACTAGAAAGGAAGGCTGATAACAGAGTAGGCTGAAGAATACTGGTCGGCAGCCTATCCTCCACTGAGGATAACAGGTGTGAGTAAGTAAGTAAGTGAAACTATATTTAAAGTTCAGTTGAACATAGATTGCTATTTCTTTGTAGACTTAATAAAACTTTTGGACAATTTATGTAAATTACAGGGACGTTGGACTGTCTAGATGATTCTCAATACGACTATTAACAGTCGAATCCTGAAGAGTCTTAAAAAGGACGAAACGTACGCTCTAAATTCCACAACTTGTCATCACATTCCAACATACAGTTGAAATAAACGTCAAAAATTTACACAATCACTCCGTTAATACTTACATTCTTTTTACGAATTTTTCCATCACCTGTACGTATATTTTCTAACATCATCTGTTCATCATAATTGACACCGGGAATAATAAGTTTTGACATAATTTCATCAAAGGGTGTAAATATTAATTGTCGTCCACTTGGTGGTGCTGTTAATTCCAATCCTTGTAGTTTACTTGTCACTAATCCAGCTAAACCTCGACGTTCTGTAAATCGTGGATATAATTGTCCACCGCATAATCCAACTTGACTACCATATGAATTATCTTTACTAACTAATTCAGTTGCAAAATCTACAAGGCTAAATAGTGAAAATCATGTTAAAAAGTTTACATTACTTACAAATAAATAAGTAGCAAGATTAATTTTAATAAATTTAAGGCTAAAAAACGCACGACTCCTGTTACTCACAGGACTTGAACCCAGAACCCTAGGTCTTCTGAGCGAGCGCCTGACCTCTGGACTAGTTGGCTAACGCCGTTAATTTCTAACGCTGATTAATTCACAGTCTTGTGTAACCTTATCCAACTTCATACATTTCAAAATTGATGCTCATTATGAGACTCTGCTTCAAACACCTTCGCGTTATCTACGTAGTTGATGAGTTTGAATAACTGTCTTACAATTTATTGTGTTTAGATTGAACTGGATGCACTAACAATACGATCCATATAGATTCATCTGACTAGTCCCAAATAGTATGAAATGCAAGTTCTGAATTCAACTAACAGCCATTGTCGTTTTATTCTTGAAAATGTTTTCGATAACTTCATGACAATATCAAGGCACTTCTCATAGGAAACTCATACTTTAATATAGATAATTGAAATCATGAGTCGTGGTCAATGTTAGACTACCATTAGAAAGAAACTTAGAAGCACTGGACAAACGTTTTATCCTAGTATGGGATTCACCTACAGTGCGGCTTCACGACCTCCACACATAGGAGTCGAAACCAAGACCTCCGTTTTCCCGTGCAAAAGCTCCCTCTCCAGACCACTGGTCCGGTATCCACCAGTGTTAATGTCTAACTGTAATCAATCCTGGATATTACCGACCGAAGACATTGGATGAGACCGTACAGTAATGTGGGTTGATTGAAGCTAGACATTTACGCCAATGAGTGCTGGCTCGCTGGTCTAGACGTCAAGCGTTTGTACATGAGACCAAAACTCCTGGGTGTTATGCTCGTTAATAGGTATGCTTTAAACTATACGGATTCACCCCAGGAAATAAACGAGAACGAGACAATGAACCTGCTTCCAGGTAGGCTGCTCTGATCCGTTGACCCAAAGGAACTAACGAGAAGCCTTGATATAGCGTAGAAAGTGAATTCTAGAAACACCCAGCCAGCAGACAATTAAATCAAGCACACAAATCGTGTTTATTTATACACCATAGAGACGTCCTTGGGAGAGTTACAAAGTAACCAATCACAGCCAAGAATTCTCCTGTCGGGAAATGTGATCTCAAGGTCAACTGATCAGCCCATGAATAAAATCCGGAAAATAAAGACATTTATCAAGTGAGTTCTGGGGATCTAACATCCTCAACACTGGATTCAATTCCTTTCGAGCGTGACAGCATGAATGCTCACCACCAATGAGTTCTATACTAGATAGAAACGGAGGTCGATGCAGTGATTCCAGTTATCTTTCTAATAGCAGTCTAACATTATTAATGATTCAGGACTTCCACAAGATTCCATGGCCGAAGGAGTTTGAGGCCGTGGCGGAGCTTGTGGGTGTGAAGGAGCCGAAGGCGAAGCTGGTGGTGCTGGGGACGCTGCTGAGAGGTAGGGCAAAAGCCATATATGACAGCTTGGACGGTGCTGGCGGGGAGAAGATGTGGGAGACGGTCACCGGGCTTCTGATGACTGAGTTCGACAGCCCAGTGGACGATACGTCTACAATAATACGACTTCAGTATCGGCCATGTTCCAGGAAAAGAAAACGTAATGGCGGAATACTTGTCAAGATCAGACATGGAAGATGACCTCCCAGTGACAGCATACGCAGTGAGTAGTTTAAATGGAGACCCATTAGAACTCATCCGGCTGACCCGAACCTTCGAAAGGTAATCAGAATTATAAAAGAAGGAGAAGACGTAGACAAACGAACGATGGACAAAGAGGTAATAATGTTACTTCGGCAAAACGAACGACTGAGAGTGAACGCATATGGAGTCCTAACCCGGCAGGACGATGACAAGAATTGGGTGGCTGTAATCCCGAAAGACTGGCAGAGTAAGATGATACACGATTGTCACCAGTTAGCACATACAGGCATCGCAAGAACGACGGATTTATTACGACAAAGTGCATACTGGCCGGGAATGAGAGACGATGTGACTCAATACGTGTTAACTTGCCAGCAGTGTCGACTAATGAAAAGCGATAGATACACACAACCGCCATTACAGTCGATCCCAGTAACCACAGTCGGTGATCTATGGTCGGTCGCCGTTTCCACAGACGGCGACCGGTAACCGATACCTGCTAGTGATGACGGAGCATGCTACACGCTGGATAGATGCCGTACCCACTGCAGCCCAGCGGGCAAGAACAGTGACCGAAGTGGTGATCCAGCATATTGTAGCATGCCACGAGATACCGAAAATGATATTAACTGACCAGGGTCCCTGTTTTGAAAGTGACAAGTTTAAAGACCGTCTAAAACAGTTTGACATCAAGAGGATACGAACTACACCGTATCATCCTCAGACAAACGGGATTACAGAGAGAAACAATCCGGTTACCCTCACCTGTGTTCTCCTTCACTTCCATAAACCTATAAGGAAGAAAAACTACTAACATATATATACATATGTGCACAAGTCTTGCATGACTTACTGTTTACCAATAATTAAATACTGTATTCTTATTGAATAAGTTGGCATTAATTGTGGTCCAATATAAATTTGCCTGATTGTTTTAATATTTGGTTGTTTCGGTATTGTCCATGTTTGTACAATATGTTGATCAAATAGTACAATTAATTGTTCCGTGTCAATTTTACCAAAATATAATGTCACTACTATTTCAATATCAGACTGTTTTAAATTCGCATCATATTTTTGATTTGATTCAATATTATTCAATGTTATCAATGGTTGTGTGGTTGTTGTTGGCGGTGTAATTTGTTTCAATAAATTATTCCATACTGGTAAAGTTTGCGTTAAATTCAAATATTCCGCTAATTCTAAATTCAATAAATTCGCATAAGGATCATTCAAAGCACGTGATATTAATGATGTACGTGTGTATAGTGTTTTAGTAACACCTGGTAGAACAATCCCTAAACGATAATCTTTCGTAAGGAATATACGTATCCATTCTGCATGTCCCTGTAGTTCAATGGATAGGGATATTTGTGTTTTGTTGAATGAAAGAGAAATGTTTGAAAAAGGAAGTAACATGAGATTCATAATGATAATAATAGTAATACTTCAATCTAAAAGTATACTTTAATGGTCATTCTTATTGGGTTAGTCACTAAGTTTGCTTGAGGCGCTATTACGAGTTTACTTTAGTCGATAAACGCAAACGAGAAAATGAACCAGCGTCCAGGTAGGCTACTTTGAATCCTAAACTAAGGTAAGAAGGCTTTGTAAGCGTAGAAAGTATATTCTATAAACACCCAGCAATCACACAATACAATCAAGCACACAACTCTCGTTTATTTATACATCATAGAAACGTCCTTGGGACAGTTAAGAAAATAGCACACTAAAATACACAGCAGCCAGTCACACAGCCATGGATTTTCCTGGTGAGAAATGAAATCTCAAGGTCAACTGATCAACCCATGCTAGCAAACGTAGAATCCAAAATAAGGCATTTAATAGGCGAGTTTTGAGGATCTAAGATCCTCAACACTCCTCCCCTTTTTAATAGTGTGTGCTCCTGGGGTCGACCTGCATCTTGACTATCGTTGGCCGCTGTCTGAGAGGATACCTTCGGGGACGAAGAACAGCTTGCTGCTGAGTTTCTTCTTGTGGCGCGGTCGCCGGTAGGTTGAAAGTATCAAGCAAGATGTCTAGGGGAAGGCTTTCTGCTCTTGATGGGCAATCTGGGGCTAGCCGTCTGTGTATCTGATTTCGATGACGTGACTATTTATCACCTCCTACCACGACTTCGTACATAACTCGACCGTAACATCCCCAACAATTCTTCAAAAAAACTAGACGGAAAAACCAATTTCACAAGGATCGGATGTAAGTTACAAACAATTTTTTGCAATTAATTCAAATTGTGACTACTATTAATTGATAATTGATCATGGAGAAGTCCATGAGGTTAATGTTAAGTGTTTCATACTAAAATAGTGATTTAATCATCGTTAGACCACTACCATTAGAAAGCACTGGCTGACAGCTATTTCGTCCTAGTATGGGACTCATCAGAAGCGCATATCTACAACCCCTGTATGCGGGAATCATTCCTAAAGCGTTCGATCTCGCGCTCGCGAACACTTGACATCTAGATCAATAAATCCACGATATTGCGCAACTATCATAAATTGTCTTCAATGAGTGACTGCCTCACACTTGACACCATTGAATTCTACTGGTCGTGACCTATAAATCAGAACTGCAACTGAGAAAAGTGTGAGTATATTAAATGAATAGGAAGTTAACTTGTGCTGATCCAACGTCAATGGTAATAAGCAGCCCAAAATACAGATTCATTTGGATGAGTTTATTTCATGTCATCATTCACACAGACAGAAAAACATGAGAGTACAAAGAGTCCAAGCAAAGCGAAGTGGAGAAGGCGAGCAAGCTAACTCAATGTGACGAGATATAGCTAAGAATTTATAATCAGACAAAAAGAGGGTAGACATTTGATAAGCGAAGTAAGGAATGCACACACACACACACTCAAATAACAACAACCAAGATTATAAGCGAATAATGGAGAAAGTCGAAAGATGTGTGAATACTGACTCGATCAGAATAGATGAATTAATTTGTCCACAGGATGACATCAAACCATGTGTGCTCGACCTATGAGTACACACACTACACGTTATCCACATAGCAATCCAGATGGAACATCAATTCTCAAATGTACACTGTTACGAATGCGCATAAACACGTCATTTGATATGCTTGAACTATTACGAGTTTACCTTAGTCAGTAAACGAGAGCGAGGATCGAGGAGCCGACGACACGACAGGCTACTCTAATCCCAGTATCCCAACCCCCATATTGAGTAAAAAGAAGACTTGAAGTAGAATCTGTATTCTAAAAGCATCCAGGAAGTACGAGGTCCGAATCCAGAAGAGGCTAAGGATCCCGGACTAGGGATCCGGATCCGGGTTCGAATCATAAAACCTTACACATAATGCATATTTATACAGTTAGGATGACCAAGAGGAAACAACGTTTGAAGTCGGTGACATTGACAGTTAGCATGACCAATAGGAATAGCTCAATAGAATTAGACTTACAAATAATTCTCTTAGGATATATTGGTTGAATAGCCTAACATAAACACAGCCAACTAATTAATTTCCCATACGTAAAGATTCTAGAAACAAAAATTTTTCTAAACATACACAAAACACTTACTGGTTGAATAATCAACAAGTCAACATCATTGGTTGGTTTAATCAACGGGTTAAATCGTACTGTCATACTGATACCAGGTTCGAACGGCGCATAATTTTGTGGTTCTTTCAATTCTGACGCTGTGTATAAATGATGCGGTGTTAAATGTAAACAATATTGATATTTTGGACTGGTATTTTCCTAGGGACATTTACGGGGGAAAATAAAAGCACGAAAAAGAAGTCAATATGAGAATAAAATGAACATGTTAACTGTCTGATGAGTCCTAAATTAGGACGAAACGTACACATTTACTGGATTCTACTGCTAGTCCCGTTTTATCTGTTGATAATTTTTGAAATATTATTCATACTGATCTGATCATTTTACGATAATAAAAATGTTTATCAATGAAATCATGAATCATTCGTTGTTAGACCATCACTACTGGGAACCCGGAATCACTGATTGACAGCCGTTTCGTTCTAAGTATAGAACTACTCATTAGCAGTGAACATTCATGAGTCCTGCTACTTGCAGGATTTCAACCCAGGATGTTTGATCTTGCTCGTGAACGCCATTACCTACATAATGAAAATCACCGACTGCCTCGTGATGTACGAATAGGTTGGAAGAAAGCTAGGGGCCGCCAACAAACCGAATCATGGCACAAATCCATAAAGTCACTGACAAGTGGACTAAGTCATGTTGGTAGGTGTCGACTAGCTGGTTGGTACCCACGAGACAATAGTAATCGATGGTTAGAGACCCTGAATGACACGGCTGAAGACCGTTTTCAATGGCGTAGGCGCATTCATTCTTTATCCTATCAGAAATTTTGATCTTCTCAATACCTCATGAGCTTTTTTCTCTCTCTCCCTTTTTAAAAAATTGATTCCTCTGAGATAAACTTCTCGAATGATATCTTCGATCACTAATCTTCTTTATTACTGGCTAATACTTCTACTATCTCTACTACTATGAGATTTAAATTGACAATTCTATCTCTCTGCGTGTCAATGTGATATGGCAACTTGAATTGATGTACATCCGTACGAAGTTCGACATTTTAGCTGACTAACTGACTGCCTGATGTATGTACAATCCAGTTGACATATCCTAAATAGGTTGCAGTTCATGGCTTGAATTTCACTGCGAACCATCATTCATATCTACACAAATAACGTCTGTAACTTAATAGCAATGTCAAAGCAATCCGCACAGGATGCGATTATGCTAAATGAGATTAGTCAATCACAGTTGTAAACCAATACAAAATAACCTAGCCTGCTTCATAGTTATACACGATTCATAATTGTTTTTATTTCAGCAGTCAGTAAAAGGGTATAAAATCCTGGAATACTGAAATTTTTCTTGTTTCCAGAGCTGATTGATACATCGGATCGTCAGAGACTGATTGTACTGTAAAGTATAAAATCCAGATGTTATAAACTTGGACTTGATTGTAAATGGAAAAAAATGTGACGATCTAAACTAAAACTGATCTCTTCTTTCAAAAACACTTAATTAACGATCTTTGACATTCAATGAAGCTATTCGATATGCAGAAACTCATAGTTGTAGCTTTCATAACTCTTTTTCATTAGTGAAACAATCTTATTGTAAATTTTCTCTTTTTATGAATTATTTTACCAGTAAATTTTCGAGATTTTGGAATAATTTACCACAAACTATCTATGAAATTCAGTAACAAGTCTCTATTGACGTGTCTGAGAATGATGGACAACATTGCGAAACCGTGCATGGAGGACAGCTCCGAGACTAGTTCGAAGTGAAGATCACCGTCAGGCAAGGTTGCTTACTCTCACCCTTTCTCTTTATCCTCGTGGTAGATTGGAATAGGAAGATGAAAACATCTAAGAGGGGGAGTGCGGGATGCAGTGAACATCTAAGATGCACTTGGACACAGAAGAAGATGGCTAGTATAGCTGCACTTTCTGTGTCAGTAGGCCACAACATGCACAGAAGAAGAAGCAAGATTCGCTGATACAACTCAACATACACCACCCAAATCACACTTGATGGAGATGCCTTGGAGGATGTTAAAACTTTCACATATCTGTTAGCATCATTGATGAGCAAAGTGTGGATCAGATGCAGATGTGAAGGTGTGAATCAGCAAAGCAAGGGCAGCATTTCTACAATTCAAGAACGTCTGGAACTCAAAACAACTATCATATAACACCGAAGTCAGAATTTTTAGCACAAATATCAAGACAGTTCTACTGTATGGGACGGAAACTTGGAGGACCACGGAAGCCATCATCCGGAAGATAAAAGTATTTATTAATAGTTCTCTAACCATGATACTGAGGAGCTGTTGGTCAGAAACTATCAGCGACAACCTACTGAGGTAGAGAACAAATCAGATTCCACCTGAGGAATAAATCAGGGAGAAGTGTTGAAAGTGGATAGAACACACAATGCGGAAAACACCAAAATGCGTCACAAGAGAAGCCGTCACTCGGAATCCGCAAGGTAAAAGCAAAAGAGGAAGGCCAAGGAACTCAATACGCCAACAAATGGATACAGACATAAGAAGAACGAATACAAATTGAACAGAACTGGGAAGTGAAGCCCAAGACAGAGTAGACTGGAGAATAGTGGTTGGCGGCCTATGCTCCAATGGGGGTAACAGGCGTGAGTAATTAAGTAAGTAAATAAGTAAGTGTGCTTACAACTGTCAGTACATTTTCTTAATGGAATAACTCGATCAATGTAATATCATACATCTATCTACCTTTCCCTTTTAATACTTCTATCTGTATCAAGTTGATCATTCGTAAACTTTTTTAAAGACTCAGAAAAGAATAGAGAAAATTTTTTGATTGATTCAATGTTCAATTTCTTTTTAAATAATGTACACATATAACATTGTGCAATTCATTGACTCAATGTTTCAACAAACCCTGTTCATTATTGTATCGATCAATGATTTTGAAATTCCTTCCCATCATAAATATGAAACAGAAGAATGTATCTTCTTATCTTACCTATTGAGATTTAAGTCTGACTATGCTACGAAGGTCAGTAATTGAAGATTTGAAGCTGAACTTAAACTACTGACCATACTAGAATGTGACAGTAATGAGGTGTTTCTGCAGCCTACTTTTTATCTACAATGACGTTAATTATGAGTGCCGGAAAGATGGTTCCTGGCAACCAGCATACCTCAACTTGACTGATGGACTTCCATCGCTGACGGTAAAGAAATTTTTAAGCGTCCAAGACTAGTGAATTCAGAACTTCTTAGACTGGTTTCAATCAGTTGCTTTTGGTATTTCGCAGTCATTGAACTAGGTCCCCAAGGTCATTACTATTTATCAAGGTTACTTTTCAAGTATTTCTAAGAAGAATGAATTCTCAGTGCTATGTACAACTGTAAAGTGACAGCTGCCCATACACTTCTAACAGAAGTGATATTAATGTAATAACCAATAAACAACTTGGCTCCGCCTGGAGCCCTTCTACAGTTACTGCCGATCCCATGCCCGGATAAAGGAGGAAGGCGTGGGCATGGGAAGGGGGGTGGTAGCGACCTCATGCCGTGAAAACCCAACTCGCTTAAAATAAAACGTTAACCAGAAAAATAATTCCCTGGTCGACGACCTATACTCCATTAAGGGTAACAGGCGTAAACAAAAAAGTAAGTAAGTAAGCAAGTAAGCAAACAACTGATCATTCATAACTTACAATAACTCGAATTTCACCAAGTTGTCTTGAATCAGTAAATTGTGTATCCCCAAATTGATGAACTGATGTAATTGCATAATCAGCTAGATAAACTTCACCAGATTGACTTAATTTACCATTTGTAAAACCAATACGACCAGCAAATGGTGTCAGTGAGAAACCGAGACTAAAAACACACACACAGAGATAGAGAGAGAGGAGAGAAGCAAGTTATAATCATTGGAATGGTTATGAATTTAGAATAATATAGTGTTATATCCTAGGCATTGGTAATTAACTTCACGAGGGAGAAGTCCTAGTGAGAAGCTGTTGTAATCAGTGAAGTTCAACTGTGTTGGATGTGAAGCAGTTACCCAATGAAGATGATGATGGATGATAGTCAAGCAATATTATGGACTGAAATAACGTTAGACACTAACACTAACGGATGCTAACTGAATGGTCTAAAGGTTAAGTGTTCTTAGGTTCGATTCCGTGTGCAGAGGTCATGGGTGAGTACTTCCCCCTCGAAATGCAAAATGTTGCTTCAAGACTGGGTTGCATTGGCACCTGTACTAGTGATAGGGAGTGAAGTGGTCGAACGTGTAGACCGCTTCACTTATCTTGGGAGTCTCATCAGTGCTGATGGCCTGGTGACTGACGAAATCTCGGCACGGATACAGAGGGCTCGATTGGCTTTTGCCAACCTGCGTCACTTATGGCGTAGGCGCGATATCCGTTTGCTGACTAAGGGACGAGTGTACTGTGCAGTGGTTCGCTCTGTCTTACTTTATGGCTGTGAAACATGGTCAGTGAGAGTAGAAGATATTTGTCGGTTATTGGTTTTCGATCATAGGTGTCTTCGAAGCATTGCTCGTGTATCCAGGGACAGCCGAGTGAGCAAGGCTGTTTATTTTGAGCTTATTTTGTCTGGCTATAAATACTGAGCAATGCTTCATTGTAAGGAGTTGGCTCGCTTGCCGTTCCCACTTCGCTTAGCTATGCTTGTACTGCGCTTCATTCCCATGTCTGTCTGTTTAAGTGAGTGCCTTAACTTTTGCTTGAAATGAATAATATACGGAAACTCAAACGTCACAAATAAAGATGTCAGCTCAAGGGCGACTAAAGTAGTGAGGCGTACTTCAAGTTCAAAGCAGTCACCAAAGTGTAGCAACCTACAGCACAAGTGATAAGCTTAATAGCTTATCAAATAATATTTATTGGATAGATTATATATCGTAACAGATAATTTAGGAAGAATATAAGTAACTGCTCGGCGGCGTAGACGGGATGATACTTTGAAAAGTTCTTCGACGCCATGGTGTACCTGCGAAGATAGTCACCATCATAGGGGATTCTTACGATGGACTACACGGCAAAATCATTGATCGAAAGCAGCTCAAATACTCATTCAAAGCGAAGACCAATGTCAGATAAGGCTTTACACTCCTACCTTTGTTCTGATGGATAACTGACTGAATTATGTAAATTTAGCGGCCAGATGATTAATCTAGACCTCACCGATGATCTAACATTATTATCCCAAGGTCTGAGGGCGAAGTCGTACTGCTGACTTTAGAGGCGTTTGACAGCAGTAAGGTATTTCCCTCGGACAATCAGCATCTGCAGCTATGCTGCTTTTCTACAATAGAAGGACTGGGTTAGAAAATGTCGACCCTAAAAACGTCACATCTCACCTTACCTCACGGATTCCCGTATCCGGTGATAAGGCCACTTAAAGAGCGAAACTAACACTTCAAAAACCTCTCATAAGAAGGCCTTACGTGAACGGCCTCAAGCAGTTGTCATTTTGGCTCTACGATCACACTCCCAGGTCGCTCAGATCAGTACTAAACTGAATTCCTCTTCAGGTTCGCCGGGAGGTGAAATCCGACTTCATACCCGTAACAGCACATGAAACCGAATCGGCCACAATAAAATACCTTCCTACACCTGTTAATATCTCTCTTGTCTCTAAGATCAACCCTGCTCACGTTCCTTTATCAAATTCACGCTGCTGACTGATTTTTACCACAATAGTATTAGAGTAGGCTTTGTTCAACAGCGAATTTCAACATCTCAGTAGAAAAATATAGTTAGATGATGCATTTTAGATTTCACAGATAACCTAGCTCTTCTATTCCATACACATTAACAAATACAAATGAACAAAGACAGCCAATGTAACATTACGATCTGTTCACACACACACACAACTAACTTGAAACATTATCAAACTTACTTTTGCATTCGTTTACGTAAATGATAATGATCAGGTGGTATACCACCAAGGAACATTATCATATCATCATTACAATCGGTTGTCATAAAATTATCTAATCGTAATATACGCATAGATGAATCAAGAAGATTTAATTGTAAACGTCGTTTCTCTTCTGTATAACCATTATGACTAATAGTAGTTGATTGACGTCGCCAACGTGGTTGATAATTATTGAATCGTTTAAAACGATTCCGTTTTATTCGGTCAATATTAAGATCATTATCACCATCATGTTGTTGTTGCTGTTGTCTATTAGTGTCTAGCCGATATAATTCACGACCATACCAATAATGTGCTTCAGGTCGACCATTAACCAATTCGATGGTGATGCCGTAATCCTTTGAAATTTTATATGAAAATAAATCAATAAGAATTAGTTTTGCTATGAAATTTATTGTCTAGAATTAATCGATTCAATGGTTATCAGGTAATAAAATGAATATATCCTGTGATTAGAAGGAGTCGTGAGTATGCACAGCCACTGATGAGTCCTATACCAGGACGAAACGGCCGTCCAGTGCTTCCGAGTTTCTAAAGATGGTCTACCATTGATCGATTCATGATTTCAAAAAGTAACTCAACAATCTCCACAACTCCATGAGTCAACAACAATCTACCGTGGAAGAGAACAAACCAGATTTCAACAGAGAAAGGAATCAGGAAGAAGTGTTGGATGTGGATAGGACATACATATTGAGGAAAGCTCCCAAATGCGTCACAAGACCAGCTGCCACTTGGCATTCTCAAGGCCAAAGGGAAAGAGGAAGATTAAAGAACACGTTACACCGAGAATTGGAGACGTACTGACATGCTCGTCAACTGATATTCTTGAAATTATTACGAGTTCACCTTAGTCTGTAAATGAGAGCGAAGATAAATGATCCAGTGACAAGATAGGCTATTTTAATTCAAGCATCCTACGGCCCCACTAAGTAGAGGAAGAAGTCTTGACAAGACGCAGAAAGCGTATAATACAGGCACTCAGAAAATATAAGGTTGATAAGCACACAAATCGAGTTTATTTATATATGAAGGCCACAAAAATAGCGTACTAAAATAATACATCAACCAATAACAGTCAAGGATTTTCCTAGTGGGAAAAGCAATCTCGAAGTCAACTGATCAGCCTCTGCTCGAAAACATAAAATCTAAAATTAGGACCTTTATCAATGGAGTTCTGTGGATTTAACGTCCCCAACACTGACATACTAAAAACGTTAACAACAGAAGGGCAAAACTAGAAAGGAAGGTTCAGGATAGAATAGGTTGGCGAATGCTGGTCGGCCGCAATTACTCCACTGGGGGTAACAGGAGTAAGTAAGTAAATTAAGTAACATTAAACGAGTACTGTACGATTTTTTAATCTGTAAGTTACATTAGGTAAGTTATGAAGGGAGAGACGAAGTTCAGTTACATTTTATTATTAAGAAAAATTTATTATACTACTAATAGTAGTGTTTTTAATTGCGGGTTGACACTAGAGTTGATAGAATCCAATGGAAAATCGACTTCATACACTTTAGGTAATCTTGAAATTATGAACCGCGATCAATGTTAGACCAATAATGGAAACCTAGAAACATTTAACGGCTGTCTCTTCTTAGCATTGGATTCATCAGTAGTACTCATACAAGGACTGGCGAAAGGGGATCGAAATCAGAATCCTCGGTCTCATGTATGAACGTTTAACCTCTATATCACTGAGTTGGCATCTAACAATATTATGGTTGTACTCGAATCAATCAACGCTATTCCCCAACGACATTTCATTTCCTGTAGCGGATAACTATTTCATACTCGGTACAGATTGAACTCCCCTGATCACAGATTTCTTACTGGAACTCAAGGAATTTATCTTGAAGCAAGTCACTAATGAACTTATAATTGTTAAATAAGGAAAAGGTTTGTAGAGAGTGTATCATTTCAGTGATTTGTATGTGATTTTTCAATTCACAGTGTAATGAAGTTCAGTAAAATTGTATATAAGTTCCAATATGCTTGGAATACAATCAACAGAAGCTCAGTGCTGACTTCTATTTGAACTGAGGCTGAACAAGTAGGCGCTAAATTCACATCATCTTATTGGCCGAATTCGGATTGATTACAAAGAACCACATAAATATCGATCATCGTCTCACCAGAAAACCATATTGTTACACAGATCACTGTAGTGCCTCCACATAAATTCCAGTTCGCTTACATCTAACTTGGTTAAGCCCTTTCGATTAATTTATTAAACCAAGCCATTTACGTAGCAACAATTTATATGTATGCACCATTCGTTCTTATTATTGTCTGGTTTGTATGATGAGCTCACATGACGTGTCATTTGACCTTATCAACTATTCGTCGCTTTTATTCATGTGTGCCTACTTCGCTTGTTGCATGTCTATCTTATATTTGTCTGACTATATATTCTTAGTCACGCTCTATCTCTTTGAGTTGGCTCATTAGCCTTCTCCAATTCACTTCGTTTCGTACGCTTTGTCCGCTGCTTTTCAACTTCGCTTTGTGGTGTGTCCAAAAATAAACGTATTCATCACTACAAGTTCACCTTCTGATTTATAAACCGTCAGACGCTACTTTGTAACGATTGTCTAGACGAGCTAATTACCGAGCATAAGAACACGCAGAAAATTGGCCACCCCATCACTAACGACACTAATGACTGTCGTTCAAAATGCGTGATCAAAATATTTTTCTTTTGCGAAATTGTTAAAAAACTTACTTTATCATAATTTAAAAATGTCATCACTGTCATATTCGATCGTTGATATTCTTTCAATGGTGTCAATTGAAAATCGAATTGATCTTTGCAAAAATCTAAATTATTAATTGATTTCAATCGGGCATAACCACCAGCTCCATTGAAATCATAGAAAAACATTCGTGTCAATGATAACGAGGGATCAAGTGATTGTGATGGACGTGCAACATTAGTTAATTGATCTAGTTCACCTTGTTTCTCCCAGATATAACCATTTCGAACGTAACGACGATTTTTACCACTAGTTAAAATAAAACAAGATGAAAAATAAAACATAGGACGCTAAATCAATGCCAGGCAACATAACAAAACCTGGAAGCAATAGATGAAGGCCGTTTCATCCTGGTGTGGGACTATTCATCAGCAGTGTATGCATTCATGACTGCTTCACCTCGCATAATTTGAGTTCCGGACCTACGGTCTGCGCGCGAACGTCTAACCTCTGGACCACTGAGCCGGTCGGTAACCAATGGTGTTAACGTCTAACTCTGATCAATCTTAGGGTTTTTCTCTAACCTCATTCATGTTCTTCAGTAGTTACTGCCTACAATCGGCATGCTTGAACCCACTGGAATTCCGAGGATTTCCTCACGAAGCTAGCCACCAGTGAGTATATTTTTTCATTTTACATGCCCGGCGTAAGCAGTAACTGTCGAACACACTAAGTGAGGTTAAGCAAAATCCTTAGATTGATCAGAGCTAGGCGTTAACACCACTGAGTGCCAGCCGGCTCAGTGATCCAGCGGATAGGCGGTCATGCGTAGGACTGTAGGTCCTGACTTTGAATCCTGTGAGAAGCTGGAGTAGTGGATGTGCAATACTAGTGAGTCCGGTGTCAGGATGAGACCGCTATCCAACGCCTCCAGGTTTCTAATGGTGATCTATTCATTCATGACACCGAATATTAGTTTATCTCATGTTCCTGTATATTTGCATTGTCTCCACAATTGAACGTTCATATGTAATGATTTCCTTGAACAATATAACAGATTGTTACGCCTGCACGTAAACACGTCAAATTGATATACTTGAAATATTACGAGTTTACCCCTTAGTCGGAAAACGAGAGCGAGGATCGAGGGTCCGGCGCACCACGACTATTCGTACCTCAAATCCGGTATATCCCAACCCCCATATTTAGTAAAAATAACAAGACGTGATATGAAGTAGAACCTGTATCCTACAAGCATCCAGAAATTACGAGGTCCGAGTCAAGAAGAGAATCGGGATCCCGGACTAGGGATCCGGGACAGAGCCCTGGTCCTGGTCGTGGTCATGAAACGTTACAGATAAAGCGTATTTATACATTTTGGTCGAATTGGAAACAGCATCGAATTCTGTGACATTGACAGTTAAGACGACCAATAGGAAGTAACATTCGAAATGACATTGACAGTCCGGATGACCAATAAGAGACAACATTGAAGTATTTGACTTTAAAAGTTAAAACGACCATAATTTTGACCAATAGAAATCGACCAATATGATTTGACCAACAATTCTCTTAAGATATTGGATGAATATCCTAACACAGATGTAACTACGCCGGGACCCCTTATTGCGGGTTGCTGATGGTCCCAAGCTCGGATAAAGAAGGAGTGTTGGGCATTGGATAGGCCACCGCATCCCGTAGAAATCCAACTGGTCGTCGGTCTATGCTCCATTAGGAGTAACATGCGTAATTCAGTAAGTAATTAAGTAACTATACAGTAATCATTTAAGTTTAATCTGAGTTCAATAAAGCCTCATTTCCCGTTCAATATCAATGCTATCGACTTTGAAATCAATTATTTTAACTTCAACCAGTTCAATTTTGACACTTCAAATAAATTCAACTTTATAAGTCAATCAATAATCAATTTTTTTATCAATTAAAACAAAAAACTACACTTACGGTCTAGTTAGAGTATATTTGAAATGAATTTATTTTTCCCCAAATGAAAAGTATCAAATTATTTCGATCCGAATGAATCACAAATAAAAAATATAAAAAGAAAAGTTCAAATGTCAATAAAAATCAAAGAAACACTTTAACAAATGTAAATAAAAGTAAATTTGTTTAAATTGTGAACTTGATTGAAAAACCTTACTGTCCAAATATATTGTGAGGCTGCTCTTAATTTGATATGCTTGAAACTACTAGTGTAGTGAACGAGAACACAGGTTGGGCAACCGAAATATATTTAACGAAAATTACAGAGTTACTCAGTAAAATCAGAAAACCATATCGTAAATCGTTAATTTGCACAATATCAGTTCATCAAATCGAACTGGACTGTTCCTGATTGCAAAACACAATCAATCCATTGTCACTCACTATTCATGCGTTTCATACAAATTCCATTGTGTTCTAACTCTTCCTTTCTTGATCTTCCCCCATCTTCTGCTGCCAGACATTACGTTGACACTCACGTCATATACTACTTATAAGTAGCTCGCACCACACTAGTACGAGTTCATCTTAGTCAGTAAACGGGCAGAGGATCGATGATCCGGTGACACGATAGGTTACTCTAATCCAAGCATCCTAAGGACCCACTAAGTAGGATGAGAAGACTTGATATGGTGTAGAATGTGTATTATACAAGCACACAAATCGAGTTGATTTATACATGATGGTAACGTCCTTGGGAGAGCCACAAAAACAGCGTACTAAAACAATACGTCAACCAATGAAAGTCAAGGATTTTCCGAGTGGGAAATGTAATCTCAAGGTCAATTGACCAGCCAATGCGCACAAACATAAAAGTATCTGAAATTAGGACTTTAATCAAATGAGTTCTAGGGATCTAAACGTTCCCAATATGTATATAATGAGTCATTAGTAGTTAGCGCTCGGGAAGCTAATTAGCTCTGAATGGAGAACTTCTAGGGTTATGGGGTCGATCCCAAACCCGGATAAAGAAAGAGGATTGGGTATCCTGTAGAAAATACTTTTGCCAAAATATTGCTGACCAGGAAAAATAATTCATACTGTTTTAACTCTACTTTGTAAGTTGGAAAGTCTTCATTTGGCTGAAAGTTATGAAAAACGATTTTCTTAATAAATCACGAGTTTGAATGCCTCTTCTTACTAACATCGTTACTAAAAGTGTTAGAATCACTTTGTTAACTGATGGAGCCTTCAACTAAGTGGATGTTCACACATTTTTGATGTGTGTGTGTGTCGGTAGCATTTAACAGCGACTCAAAACGTACCAAAACTTAACAATCCTTTTCAGTAAACGCTTTAAAGCGTTTCAGAGTGCACATATCCCCTGTGTTCTGTACAGTGACACCTTTATAAACAACTCTAAGACTATTGAAAATCTTTTCAGTAGTACAATAATGAATTCTTAAACAACACTAGTTCAAAAGTCATTTAGGCGATAAATTTATATTTCTTTCACTTATCTAGTTATAAGTAAAGATATTATCTTTTGAGATGGTGGCGAAAATTTATAGCTCAGGTGGATGATTGTGGTAGAGAGTTTCATTCTCTGAGTTGGTGATATTTTGGTTGTAGAGCTTTCATTGTTCTTCAGCATAAACGTCAGTTAAAAGAACTGAAGTATTCTAATTTCTCCACGAATGACTCATAGTTTGTTCTGTTGATCTCTTGATCTTGATTGGTTGTCAGTGTCTTTAAACATGTCGTTGTTTGTACCTTTGTTTTGGTAGTGTCCCCCTTTGATCTGTTTCTTGATCCTATGCTTGCCGATGATTTTTCTGAATGGTTGATGAAGTGGGTCAATGACAGAGCACAAAAAGCACTAGAGAATTTCTAGAAGAGTGGCACTCAAGCTAAGCAACAATCAACAAACACATCGAAATTAACCCAATTTATCAACTAATCAAAAAAATCATAGGCGAACATTTGATCAAGAAACAGATCATAGGGAGACTCAATCAAAATGGAGGTTAACAGAAATAGCAACGAGTCATACATGGAGAAATTCGAATACTTCATTTCTTCTATCTGAGGTTTGTGCTGATGATGTTGTTTATAAGAAGAACAATGAAAGCTTCACAAGACATCTAGCTTAGAGAACAAAGCTGAATCACAACGCTACTGTCCCAAACAGTCATGAACTAGATGCGAATGCATTCACTCTCTTCGAATATACTCGATCTGATATACAGCGTTACTTCTTCTAAAGCTGTTTACTCTCTCTCTTGCTCGCTCTCTGGAGATTGATACTTCGCCTAACTGTTGAAAAATCTCATACATCATACCACGCTATGAATTGGAATAGAGATGTTACTCCGGTTATCCGCTGGATGGTGGAAAAACTTGTTAATGACGAATTTTCGAAGTAGTTACTGACTGAGAAACTTATCACTGATTCCTAACATGGCTTTCGTAAAAATCGATCTTCTAATGACTTCTTACTTTGACTTTTTAATTTAGTTTTTTACTCAGTGTATACCTGAAGACATCTAGTCATAGTGCTATAGTTTGACTGACAAAGTTTTCGACATGGTTAATCACCAGTCAGTCAGATGCAACGTAGAACTTCGTACAAACGTACGTCAGCTCATGTTGCTATACCACATTAGCAGACATGTAATTGTCAGTTCAAATCCAATAGTAGTAGAGGTAGTAAAGGTATTAGAAATTATCAGAGAGGTTAGGATTAGAAGATATTATTCAAGAAGTATGATTCAGTGAGAAAAGTTTAGAAAGTCAAAACTAGAGGTGTTGAAGAATCCAGAAGATTAGAATTTGAGAGAACACAAAGAATAAATGCACCGGCGCCATTGTGAACGGTTTTGAGCCATGTCACTCAGGGTCTCTAACCATCGATTATTATCATCTCGCGGACCCCAACCAAGTAGCCTACATCTACCAACATGACTCATTCCACTTGTCAATACTTTATGGATTTCTGCCATGTTTTGGTCTGGCCGCCTCTAGCTTTGTTCCAAACTATTCCCACACTACAAAACAAAGCTCGTCGAGGCAGTCGGTGGTTAGGCATACGCAGCACATGTCCCGACCACCTCAACTGATGAAGTTTCAATACTTCATCTATTGATCTGCCATTCTTACCTAGCACCCGTTTCTTAATAACAGCGTTGCTCACTCGGTTGTCCAAGGAAATACGAGCAATGCTTCGGAGACACCTATGATCGAAAACCAGTAACCTACGAATATCTTCTACTCTCACTGGCCATGTTTCACAGCCATATAGGAGAACGGAGCGAACTGCTGCACAGTACACTCGTCCTTTAATTAGAGAACGGATATCACGCCTACGCCATAAGTGACGCAGGTTGGCCAAAGCCAATCGAGCCTTCTGTATCCGAGCTGAGATTTCGTCAGTCACCAGGCCGTCAGTATTGATGAGACTCCCCAGATAAGTGAAGCGGACTACACGTTCGACTACTTCACTTCCTATCACTAGTTCACTTGCCGATGAAATCCAATCTCGAAGCAGAATTTTGCATTTCGACGGGGAAAATCGCATCCCGAACATGCTTGCATTGTTGCTTAGGTTGGTCAGAAGACTTTGCATTTTGTCAGCGTCTTCACCAAAAGTAAGACGCCTAAATGTGTGTCTGTGTTTCAGGACCTGTCGTAATATGAATATGTGCTCTATACAGCCACTTCCAGGTCGAAAACCAGCCTGATTTTCTCTAGTCTGCTCTGCACGAGCTTTCGTCAAGTGTCGAAGTATTATTGAAGCCTACATTTTAGATACCACTAGATTCTTACAGGTCAGAAATACTCTCCTTGCTTGGCTCAATTCCATCCTTAGGCCGTGATATCAAACAGTCAGAATGCACTCCATTTTATCGAACACCATTCGTATAAAACTGATCATGCCCCGTGGAGAACTGACTTGAATTCTGTAAATAATAACATTTTCAAAATATATATACATGATTACATCATCATATTTGTTTAACACTAGAAATGTCTTTTTTTTCAACACTTACAACTGACATTGATATTCTTTCGGTTTGGAACATTCTAAATTCACATCAGCGAAATTCACTAAACTCATTGGCAAACCACTTAATCTTAAATTAAACATACAAAATTTCATTGATTCCATTGACATAAGTCTTGACCAAAATTCCTCTGCACCATTATCACCCCATGCTTCCGGATTACTTAAACGACTACTTGACTGGAATACACCACCAATACGTAATTCCATTTGCCTGTCCATAATCAAATTCGCTTCTTGATCAAGTGTACCATTGGTTGTAGTGATCTGCTGGATTTTCGGTATCACATCCCCTTGATCTTGATATGGTCGTTCCATGAGTATCATTTTTGTTTCACCGCCTACTGATGTAACACGTACATGATACCATGTGTTCGTATGAACTGGACCTAATTCTAGGAGACCATTCGGTGTATTCCATGAAAAACGTAATTTGGCCTCTGGAGCTTCAATAGTCAATGCAAACATTTGTGTATGACCTTCAAATGCTCTACGTCCAACCATTAAAACACTGCTTATACTCAATAACTGATTATTATTATTTGGTAAACTGTTCAAACTGAACCAAAATTCAATATCGAATACACGTGATTTTGTTAAACTATACGGTACCAGCGTGTACACACAATCTTGACCTAATTGTAATGGAATGGGATCATGTGATACAGTGCCATAGATGACATCCAACAATGAGTGTGCTTCATCAGTTAGACGACGTAAATTTAATAATTTCAAATCTAATTGTCTTGCTGCGGTTTCTGCTTCATTTATGGATTTGATTAAATGAGATTGACTGGTATTGGCTCGATCAACTAGGATAAAAGAAAAACAGGGGGGGAAAATAGTTTGATGATTGGTTTCTGTAAAACACAATGATTAAAGTATTGCATTTTCAATAAAAATGGATTATATACGTATGAATTTTAGCTATTTTTATTCTTTTCTGAATTATGTCGAGTGATCTATCGTGTAAGTTTATCGTTTCCTGACGGAGTTTGAACCCATCTGCTGCACACATGAATCATGGATCAATGATTGTTAGACGGCCCACCATTGAGATCTAGAAGCACTGGATAGCTGTTTCGTTCTGGTGTGTATGGGATTCATCAACAGCGTGTTACGCCTGCACGTAAACACGTCAACTTGATATACATGAACTATTACGAGTTTACCCCTTAGTCGGAAAACGAGAGTGAGGATCGAGGATCCGGCGACACGACATGCTACTCAAATCCGATTATCCCAACCCCCATATTTAGTAAAAATATGAAGACAAGACTTGATATGAAGTAGAACCTGTATTCTGCAAGCATTCAGAAAGTATGAGGTCCGAATCCAGAAGAGAATCAGGATCCCGGACTAGGGATCCGGGACAGAGCCCTGGTCCTGATCGTGGTCATGAAACGTTACAGATAATGCGTATTTATACATTTTGGTCGAATTGGAAACAGCATCGAATTCTGTGACATTGACAATTAAGACGACCAATAAGAATTAACATTTGAAGTGACATTGATAGTCAGAACAACCAATAGGCAAGAACATTTGAAATGACATTGACAGTCCGGATGACTAATAAGAGACAACACTGAAGTATTTGACTTTGAAAGTTAAAACAACCATAATTTTGACCAATAGAAATCGACCAATAGGATTTGACCAATAATTCTCTGAGGATATTCATCCAATATTCTAACAAATGCGCACCCACGACTCCTGTTACTCCTAGGACATTCAGTCTTGAGCGTGACCCCCTAAGTGTCAATTTATTCACGTTTGACCGGGTACTTTCAATGTTGAACTATTGACAGAAACTTTCGTTATCGTATCAGTACAGCTGTCTTACCACTATCAACTTGTGATACTTGACTCGAATTGCCTTGACTGGTTTAACACATTCATATAACTATTCATGTATATTGGAGAGTAAAGCCTGATGACGATCTAATTCAAAACAACGATATTGTTCTCTTACATGTGTTGTTCGATAATTTTTCTCTTTAAGTTTGAATATTGTACAAATTAAGAACAAAAGATGTGAGCAGTGGAGTTCAACCCTGTCAGTTGTAGGCAGTAACTACCAAAGACAAATGGATGAGGTTGCGTGAAATCCTCAGTTTGATCAGAATTCGATATTAACACCGCTGGATGCCGACTGGCGCAGTGGTCTCGCAGTTAGGCATGCAAGACCGACGGTCCTAGATTTGGCAGGAGTCGTGGATGAGCACTGACAGGGATGAGCCCCATACTAGGACTAAACGGCCGTCATCCAGTGCTTCCAGGTTTCTGATTGTGGTCTAAGTATGAGACTCATCAGCAGTACACACCCACAACACCTCAATCAAGAACTGAAACTGAAAACATTCGGTGTTACGCGCGACTGCCTTACAATCAACGCAGCTAAACTTCATTGGTAAGGGTTTCTCAATAGAACTCCGAAAAATTCCCTCACAAAACTAGTCACTGGTAAACACATGATAATTGTAATTATGAGGTTCTAGAGTTTCAATGAAATCATGAAAGTGTGTAAGTATTGAACAACTGTTTCATCCCAGTCAAAATCAAATGAAGCACGAAAACTTACAAGCATTTGACAGCGCTTTCATCTGAATATGAGGATTCTTCAACAATAAGGACTGAACGAAGAACTTCCAAGATTATTCATGATTTTTGTGTACATTTTAATTGATTCAGAAGAGAAACAAACAGTTTAGGTTACTAGTCGACTAGTTTAGGATTCCGTTGATTTTAATAATAAAATTTTATACCCCTTGCATAAAGTTTGAATTTCATTAGAATCAGGAATAGATCAAAATCAAGACCAGTGGAATTCAATCGTGTCGGCTGTGAAGCAGTTACTCACTGAAGATATTATGGATCGGTTGGATTTAGACTTTAACAGTGTTGAATGCCAGTTCAGTGGTCAAGAAATTAAATGTTCGCTCACAAGACCGAATGTTCTAGGTTCGGTTCTTGATTACCCAGTCGTGAGTGTACACTGCTAATGAGTCTGATACTAGGATGTAACAGCTGTTCACTACTTCCAGTTTTCAAGGCTTTTCTAACATTGATCAATTTTATGATTTAAGTGAAACGTAACACTTTCAACAACCCCATATTCACAATAATAATAATAATACTAATCATACATAGTTTTAATTAAATTCCTTAAAAAAAGTTGATGTGAATGATTGAAAATTTGCATAACATATATCAACCTATACTTCTGAAAATTTCCAAGATTGAAATAATTCCCGACCATTTTTCCATAGAAATCTCATGATTGTTACATAAACCAATAGCTATTTAAACTCAATAGCTAAATAGATCATGAAATGAAGTTTGAAGTGAACAGTATTGAACTCGAGACTCAAGTATATTCAACTGTCAATTATCAAATAGGATAAAGTGCACGTCCTAAATTCCACTGCAAATCACATTCGATTCGATTCTGTGTAATATTAGTGTGATGCGAGCTACTTATAAGTAGTATATGACGCGAGTGTAAACGTAATGTCTGGCAGCAGAAGATGGGGGAAGATCAAGAAAGGAAGAGTTAGAAGAACACAGTGAAATTTGTATGAAACGCATGAATAGTGACAATGGATTGTTGATGTTTTGCAACAGGAACAGTCCAGTTCGATATGATGGACTGATATTTTGCAAATGAACAATTTACGATATGGTTTTCCGATTTTACTGAGTAACTCTGTAATTTCGCTAAATACAATTCGGTTGCCCTCACCTGTGTTCTCGTTCACTACAGTAGTAGTATGGTTTCTAAAAGCTTCTCAATTTTCAAGGTCATAATCTAAACTTCTAAATAATGTCGCATCAATATTGTGCATCTCTCAATTTCCTATTCATCGATCCAAAATAGAATATTTTTAAGGATTAAGAAAAGGTTTTAGTAAGTTAAAATCTATGCGTCAGAAGAAAGGCGTTCGCACACAAGACCAAAATTCTTGGGTTCGAACCCCGCGGGTAGCAGAAGTTGTGGATGATGAATCCTTTAGATACTAGGACGAAACAGCCATCATCGAGTGCTTCCAAGTTTCTACTGATGATCTAACATTGACTACTAATTCATGATTTCAGTAGTAAATAGATAAGAGAATTTATTTAAAAAAAAGACTTACCTAAAGTTTTCGCTGTGCCTTGCACTTGAGAAAAACGATTTTCCATTTCTTGTAAACGATCATGCAATGCATTGTAGCGTTCTGTTTGCATGTCTAATTTATTTGAAACATTTTGAATTAATGGTTTGGTATCTTTTAAAAATTGTTGTATTGAATCAACTTGGAAAAGAAAAAGTAGAAGTAAATGTTTGAAAAAAAGCAACAAGAAATGAGATTATGATTTGCCGAAAAAATATTTTTTTGAAACCATGAATCGATCAATGTTAGCTAGACCATCATTAGAAACCTGGAAGCACTGGAAGACGGCCGTTTCGTCCTGGTATGGGACTCATCAGCGGTAGTGCGCATCCATGACTCCTGCACTCCGCAGGATTCGAACCCAGCACCTTCGGTACTGTGCGCGAACGCCAACCTCATACACAGTCTTCGATAGTTACTGTCTACACCCGAAAAGGTCCCATACCAGGACGAAACGGCCGTCCAGTGCTTCCAGGTTTCTAATAGTGGTATAACATTGATATCAATTCATGGTTTCGAAAATGTGTAACTTAAGAATCTTCACAACCCCGTAATGTAAAAAATATTTTTCAATATCATTTGTGAACTGGACAATGTCAACGGTCGCTGAATCGAATAAATATTATTAACTCATAGTGTGAATTATGTGGATGAAAGTAGTTGGCTAGATAGCACATAGATGAAGCTTTTGTACAAGACAAGACTTCACTGGGAATCCTCAAGGGCAACGGAAAAGAGAGAGACCAAGGAACACATTACACCGAGAAATGGAGACAGACATGAGAACAATGAACGGCAGTTGGATGGAAGTAGGAAGGAAGACGGAGGACAGAGGAAGGCCAAGAAACATATTATGCCGACCACTGGAGAAGACTGAACAACAATTGGACAGAACTAGAAAGGAAGATGGAGGATAGAGTAGGTTGGAGTATGCTGGTTAGCGACCTATCCTTCATTGGGGGTAACAGAAGAAAGTAAGTAAGTCAGACACTCGTTAGTAATGTAAACTTCAAATGTTTAATAATTAGAGGTAGTTGATAGGCAACTCTGAACCTAGGTTTCATGTTACCTAAAAGACGATCAGTTCTTCTGTTATGCTCATCAATTGATATGCTTGAATGCGATTACGAATTTACTGTACTCGATATACGGAGCGCAGATACGTGATGCAGTGACAGGATAGGCTATTCTAATCCTGTTGTCCGCGGCCCGACTAATTAAATCAAGAAGCCTTGATAAGGCGTAGAAAGTGTATTCTACAAGAGCCCAGAAACTACGTGGTTGACAAGTACACATATCGAGCTAATTTATACATGATAGAAACGTCCTTGGAAGAGCCACAAAAATCCATCAACCAATGACAGTCAAGGATTTTTCTAGTGAGCAAAGTAATCTCAAGGTCAACTGGGCAGCCTATGCGCTAAAACACAAAAAATCCAAAAGTACGACCTTTTTCAAGTGAGCTCTGAGTATCTAACGTCCCCAACGCCTTCAACCGAGATACAAATCACTACTCAGGTAAATACTTCAACTTAACACACTGTCATGCAGTTAAATCTAACAACAATTTTGTACATGATTAACGTTCCATTGAAATACAATAACACTAATATATGAGAGTTTCAAAAATATGGAACATTTAATTTCAATTCGATGTTCTAAATATATCAGTGTAGTTGAGTGGATTGTGCGGAAGAAACAGCCGTCCATTGCTTTCGGGTTTCTAATATTGACCAATCCATGATTTCAATCAATATCAATTCTCTTAGTCATGCCTTTCATCTCATTTTTGGTGGCTAACTCGCCTTCTCCATTTCACTTCACTTTGTTTGTAAACCTTGTATTTTCATGTCTGTCCGCATGAACGATTGTATACAACAAACTCGTCCATCTGAATCCCTATTTGGCTTATTGGTATCGCCATCTCTTAAAATGGAGTCACACTAAGCACCTACTCGAATGGCCATCCATTAAACTGGTTAGTCCTATTTCAATCCACTAAATACTATTCAATAGTCAAATAGACTCTTTCTTGTACTCTTCTTGTCAATTGTCAATTGAACACGAAGTAAGCATGCAATTATGTTCCGATAACATTCTATAATTTTGGGGCACAGTTTTGGAGGTTTGCGTTTTTACACATTTGAAATCATCAAACAATCATTGTTAGACCACCATTAGAAACCTGGAAGCATTGGACGGCCGTTTCGTCCTGGTATGGGACTCATCAGCGGCAAAGCATCCACGACTCCTGCTCCTCGCAGGATTCGAACCCGGGACTTTTGGCATCGTAGGCGAACGCCTTAACATCGGACCACTGGACCGGCATCCAACGGTGTCTAACTCTGATTGATCTAGGGATTTTGCGCGACCTCACCCATTTGTCTTTGGTAGTTACTGCCTGCACGCGACAGGGTTGAAGTCCATTGGTCACGTCTTCTCAACTATAACTCCGAGAATTCGCTCACGAAGAAGCTAGTCACTAGTGAGCACTGTTACGATATTTTGGGGCACAGGTTTGGGAGTTTGCGTTTTTACACATTTGAAATCATCAATCAATCAGGAGTCGTGGATGCGCACTGCCACTGATGAGTCCCATACCAGGACGAAACGGCCGTCTAGTGCTTCCAGGTTTCTAATGGTGGTCTAACAATGATTGATTGATGATTTCAAATGTGTAAAAACATTCTATCAGTGAACACACAAAACTAAAACACTACAACTCACCTTTATTCACAATAGTTTTTGTTAATTTCAAATTATTCCCAGCAATTTGATCCAATGTATTCAAATCATTCTCAGTTTCGCCTAATTCTTTATCAAGTATATTCAGCGTTTCATTATGTGAACCATAAATAATCGATTGATTATTTAACACATCCGTAATTTGATCACGTTGATCAATGACCTGCTTCAATTGATCTTGCCATGACAGCTGTTGACCATCTATAGTTGTGGTACTATTTAAAAAGGCATTCTCTGCATCATTAGTTGCATTCTCAGCTAATTTCACATTGTCAATAATCGATTGATAAGCATTGTATGCCAAGTAAGTTTGATTTAATCGACCCGATGGTGTGAGTCTAGCAATGATACGTTTGGATTCTTGTTCAATTGGTTCAATTGTCTGTGTCAATAATTCCGGTGGTATATATATGTGTTGAATATTTGGTAGCTGGATTTCATTTAATTGTTGGATAAGATTGTTCAATTGTTCAATTCTAAATAATTGTTCTTCTTGATTCACTGGTAACAATTGTTCAAGTTTCAATAATTCTTCATCTAAATTTTTTATTTCTTTGTCATATAATTGTAATGTAGTCAGACTTGTTGTTGTTTTCACTGTATCAATCAAAGTGTTTGCTTTATTCTGAATAGTCAAAAATGAAAATATCATTTCACAATAGCGTGAATAGAGAAAATAGCATAAAACAAAGGTGCATGTGGTGTGTGCTACTTATACGAACGATATAAGTAGTATAAGAATGGACGTGAAAGATGTCTTACGGTCAGAAGAGGAAAACGGAAAGCAAATAGAGCAAAAGCAAGAAAGATTTAGAGCACCGACAGGAAGTAAAGGAAGCAACAGCAGGAATGGAGGAAGGCTGGAGCGTTGGAAGTCAGGACTCAAAGATGGTGTGCAAATGGAGTGTTCAATGTAATGTTATCGTTTTTAATTGACTAAGAGTGTAAATTAGCCAATTACAATCTATCGAGCCTGCCTCAGTCTTCTCATGCAAACAACGACAGGTTTAAGGTCAACGACAATAAATCTAGATCGAGGTTAGCAGAACAAGCTACAGGTCAAACGTGGAGAATTTGGAATGCTTCACTTCTGCTATCTGAAGTTTGTGCTGATCATGTTGTTCAGAAGAACAATGAAAGCTCCACAACTAAAAGATCCAGCTCAGAGAACCACACACCACTAGCACAAACATAGATGGATATAATGAGGTGAACAGTGAAATAATCTAGGATGCTCATTTCATTCCTAATTAGGACTCATCTACAGTTGGATGTAATTGCACACATTCGGGACTGGAACTCTGTACCGTTCGCATCAAATACCATGGAATGTAAATAGACATTGATTTGTGGAATGGAGTGGAGTTTAATACATTTACATTGGTAGTTTCAATATTCCAAACGATAGTTACAACTGCAGGATAATCTTTATAAAAACTTGACTGAAGTAAAATTTAGTAACATACTTTTATATCAGACCCTCTGATAATGGTCACGTTTTCTCGCTAGAACTCTCAGAATTTCCTCACGAAGCTAATCATTAATGAGCACGTTGTACGTTTTCTTACCCAATTAAACTTATGGAGATCTGTGTTTTCACACATTGAAACCATCAGTCAATTATTGTTAGACCACCATTAGAAATCTGGAAGCACAGTACAGTCGTTTCATCCTGGTTTGGGACTCATCAGCCGTGCGCATCCACTGTTAGGATATTCATCCAATATCCTAAGAGAATTATTGGTCGATTCCTATTGGTTCAATTCCTACTGGTCAATTTTATGGTCGTCCTAAATATCAATGTCACGTGCTCCAATGTTGTTTCTTATTGGTTGTTCTGTCTATCAATGTCACTTCAAATGTTACTTCCTATTGGTCGTCTTAACTGTCAATGTCACAGACTTCGGATTCGCGGTAGCATGTCGTGTCGCCGAATCCTCGATCCTTGCTCTCGTATTCCGACTAAGGCTAAACTCATAATACTTCAAGTATATCAAGTTGACGTGTTTACGTGTAGGCGTAACATCCACAATGCCTGCTTTTGACAGGATTCGAATCCATTCCCTTTGGTCTTCTTTTGTTCTTCTTGAACCAATAATTGAACAAGAAACAACTCTACACACACACACACACATAATGAAATCACTTACTAATGCTATTTCTAACTCATTCATTGCTAACTTTGTACCATTACTTATACGATAAGCTTGATTTGTTTGATAATCTGTTAAATATTGTTGTATCATTTGATAAATATTCAACTGATTTAAATCATTTTTAATTTTCTGTTGTTGTTGTTTCATTAATTGTTTCAATGTTTCAATTTGTTCAATGTTTGTTTGAATTTGCCATTCCAAATCATTTAACCATAATTCTGTATCGTTTAAATTAATATTCATTAAATCATTTTTAATTTGACGTGCATATTCTTGCCATTGTTGTAATTCCACCTCAGTACTAGCTAAACCAAATTCTTGTTTTGTTAAACGATTTATCCAACGTTCTAATTGATCTTTGATCATTTCCGATTGTACACGTAACTCATCGGTTTGTTTTAATAGATCACAATTGGATTGATCCAATGTTTTGTAATTCCCCAAAATTCGTTCATAATTTTGATTGAGTTCATTAAATTGTCGTGATAATTGTTTAGTACGTGCAATAATTTCATGTTCTAATTGTTGACGTGTTGTACTGAAACGTTTTTGATTCATTTCAATTTGTTGTCTCAACCGAGTTAAACCTTGATAAGCTAATGTTGTAATGTTTAGTTCGTTTATTTGTAATTTGACATAATCGGCTTTATTGATTAATTCACCGGTACATGGTCCACGACAATCTAATGCGTGCGTTCATAAGGCGGGGCGGAGGGGGGAATGAAAAATCAATGAAAGAGAATTTCGTTTTATTGATAATCAATGAATAATAATAATAATTGATAATAATTGTAAGGAGTGGCTTGATCTGGAGACCCTCTGGGGCTACTGCCAGTCTCAAGCCCGGGTAACGAAGTGGGGTCGTGCATGGGGTTAGCGATCCCATCTCATCTAAAAACGAACTCACTAAAACAAAACACTAAGCAGGAAAAATAATTTAAACTATTTATAACCTTTTTTGAAACCATGAATCGATCAATGTTAGTTAGACCACCATTAAAAAACCTGGAAGCACTGAAAGACGGCCGTTTCGTCCTAGTATGGGACTCATCAGCAGCAGTACTCATCCACGACTCCTGTACCCCGCAGGATTTGAACCCAAGACTTTCGGTATTGTAGGCGAACGCCTAACCATTGGACCTCTTAGCCGGTATCTGACGGTGTTAATGTCTAACTTGATCAACTCGATCACGGAGTTGCGCAACCTCATACACAGTCTTCGGTAGTAGTTACTGTCTACAGCCGAACAGGTTGAACTTCACTGGTTACGTCTTCCCACTAGAACTTAACACTCTTCACAACCCCGTAATGCAATAATTATAATCTGCCCTAGGAGTAAGAAGGTCCTTATTTAGAAGAGTTATGATGTCTCATGATGAAAGTCGATTTTCTTCGGTAGTCACGAGGTAGATGACCATTCTAACAACCAGAGCAACCATTAATATAGGTACATAGAATGTTAGTACGTAGTGGAAAAGAGGGAGAGACATTTAAGTTGCTATGGAAATGAAAAGATACAACTTGGTGATAATTATAATCATTGAAACACATTAGATTAGACGTAAAATGTATTTAGTAAATTTATATTCACTGACGACTAGATTTGAGAGATAGAGACTAGATTCTTATGGAAGCTTCTTCGAGTGCTAGTGAAAAGTAGTGACCAGTGGAGTTCGATCCTTTCAGGTATGAAGCGGTGCTCAGCGAAGACAGCGGATGAGGTTAAACAAGACTGTGTATTCATTAAAGTTAGCCTTTAACACTGTTAGATGCCGGCTCAGTGGCCTTAAGATTAAGCATTCACGCGCAAGACCGAAGGTCATGGGTTCGAATCCCATCACGAACGCTCACCGCTGATGACGACATGACCATCCAGTAATTCCAGATTTCTAATGATGGTCTAATATCGATCAACCCATGATTGCAAGCAATCATTTATATGAACAAAATGATCACCATAAAATCTCCATTTCCTAGGTTTTATTCCCAACGGGATTAGAGCAATGATGGAAAAAAATCTTAGTGATCACATGTCCACTATGTCATAGACTATTTTTAGTTTGATAAACACAAAAAGAACCAGGAAACAATGGACGTTTGTTTCAAGTGAGAATCTTTAATAGTGAACATCCATCACGTTACTGAAAAACAAATCTAGGAGGTAAGAGTTTCATCACAGGCTTTTCACATCAAATCATTGACATTTCAATCTATTCGCTCTAGCTGATGGTCACCTGTCAATCTTGTTCGTAGGTACACACATGATATTTATTTAGAGTTCATTGGCTACATCCTTTTCGTTCAGTATTCTTCCGGTTAAAATTAATCTACGACAGAAGGTATCTTCAAATTGATCTAACTTTCAAAAATCATTCAACTATACATATCAAATAACTGAATTAATAAGGTTGGAAATAATCTCTTGACTTTTCTAACTCTTTTCTAGTTTGATGGAACCTACTTGCAACTAGGAACAAACATTGGAGAGAACTGGAAATGGAAGCCCAGGACAGAGTTGGTTGGAGAAAACTGGTGGGCGGCCTATGCTCCATTGGGGGTAACAGGCGTAAGTAAGTAAGTAAGTAACTTGCAACCTGACTTATAAGTAGTATGGTATCGAGTGTCATCTAAAAGTTACTACTGGATCCAAATGTACGACACGATCAAAGTGTTTTGAACACAAGAAGACATGTAAAGTAAGATGGTCAATAATTTGTCTGAGTAGTTGATCTCATTCAGTTGCCTAAGTCGTTTGTAATTTCTCATTGTCATGCTCGTCAATTGATATGCTTGAATGCTTATTACGAGTTCACCTTACTCAGTAAACGAGAGCGAACACAAATGATCCAGTGACATGATAGACTATTCTAATCCGAGGGTCCTAAGGCCTCGCTAACTAGAGAAAGAACTCTTGATAAGACATAGAAATTGTATTCTACAATCACCTAGAAAATATGAGGTCTTTCAAGCACACAAATCGAGTTTAAATATACATCCTTGAGTGGGTCACAAAAATAGCGTACTAAAATAACACATCAACCTATAACAGTCAAGGATTTTCCAAGGTGGGAAATGTAATCTCAAGGTCAACTGACCAGCCTATGCTCGAAAACATGAAATCCAAAATTAGGACCGTTATCTAGTGAGTTCTGGGGATCTCAAGTCCCCCAACACTCATTTATAATTTGGTTTTCAGTTGTTATATATCAGCACAGCACAGTGATAGGTCAGTAGTTCATCCACTTCAAATATACTTTCTCGTATTGAGACTAAACTGCATCGGTCACAATGAGAAAACATGATCAATTAAGGAAAATAAATAACATCACGTCACATCATATTACCACGACATGTTCCATGATCAACGACATGATCTTCTTCGCATTGATCACATCGACGTCCTTGAATACCTGGCCAGCAGTCACATTGTCCAGTTTGTTGATTACATGTTTCCGATTTAGAACCGCCCAGATCACAATCACATGGTTGACAAGCTATCATACTTGTCGGATCACCATAATAACCTGGGGAACATTGTTCACAACGTAGACCAGTATAACCTAATTTACATGTACATTGGTGCGGTAAATAAGTTGGATCCGTTGATGGTGTACATGTGATTGCGTAACTAGGTTGAAGGAAAACAAAATAGGGTGGGTTGGGGGGTTGGAGATAAGATTGCATTATTACCAATGGATGAAGTAATCAGAAGTAAAAGTAAATAAACTCTGTGCTAACGAATTCTTAATTATGACTAGATGACTGAACACTCTCTGGAATCAATAGTTGTTAGACGACCATTAATAGAAACCTGGATGCACTAGACGGATGTTTCGTCCTAGTATGGGACTTATCAGCAGTCCGCAATCATGATGCCCGCCGTCGAGGACTGAACCCAGAACTTTCGGTCACGTACAGGAACGCTAAACGTCTACACCACTGAGCCGGTACTCGACTGTGTTAATGCCTAATTTCGATTGATTCATAGTCTTGTGCAACCACATCCACTGTCCTCAGTGGGAATTGTATCATATCCAAGAAGGATTAAATTCACCGGCGATGACTTCTCATTAGAACTGGGGGAAACTTCCTTACGGCACTACTAACTAGTGAGTACATGATAATTTTCTTTCATAGGCTTGTGAAATCTGTTTAATTTCAATGAAATCATGTATCGGTCAACGATAGCCCACCACTAGAAACCTGGAAGTACTCGACTACCGTTTCGTACTGGTATAGGACTCATCAGATAAAACATTACAGTAATTTGGCAAGTGAGCTTTAAAATCGATAATAGAATAGTTTTAAAACTAAGTTGTCATCCAATCAAATAAAAAAACAAACACTTACTCAGTTTGTTCAGTAGGACATTGACATTTAACACAAGGTTGTCCAAGTTTCGGATCACCCATATAACCTACAGCACATTTTCCACAATCCAGACCTTCTGTATTCCCAGTACAATCCAAACAGATACCAGTGATTGGATCACAATTTGAGGACATACCATTACAACGACATTTTTGTGCACCACCTTCCCAAATTATGTGTCCTGGTGGAGCAGTAGGATCAATGATCTCAGTTGGAGGTAATATTTCATTGCCAGGTTTTGGTTTTATTGGTGGAAAGTAGAAACCAGATGAAGCAATCTATCAAACGGAGAGAGGTAGAGAGGGAATGTGAGAGTAGTAGAGTTAGTAGAAGTATTAGCGATCACACAAAAGATTGATGATTGAAGATATCATTCAAGAAATATATCCCAGAGGAATCATTTGAAGCAAATGACCATGAAGAATTGAGAAGATTAGACATTGAGAAAAGGGGAACACTGGATGTACCTAGGTCATTGCAAACGATTTTGAGCCATTATCATTTAAGGTTACTAGTGTGCTTACCTAAATTAAGTGAAACCTAAGTCTCATAGTCAAAATGAACTCTAGGAGACAACTAAATCAGATATAACCCACATCGTGGATTCCAATGCTAGGGATATTCCATCTAGTTCACAAAAAAACAACCGGATCAAACAGATTTTCTTGAGTAAGACACCTATGATCAAACAGACGTGATATACCGATGTCCTCGACTTGCAGTCATGAAGTTAGAGAATTAACTGCTTGCCAGTTCATTCACCTGTTTAGGAGAAGGAGATCTCGTCTAAATCAAAAGTTACACAATCAATAGAACTTTCTAAATTCATGCCACTATTTTTACTGAACCGCAGCCCGAAAGGATTGATGATACTTCAAAGATTATTGAAGTGGTCGACATGTTCAACCAATTTCACCTGAAAGGTTAATTTATGGGCTGATGTAGACTAAACTTAAATTGGGATTTTGTATTTGAAGGGAGAGAAACATAACCAAAAGATACTTTTATTGTTTTTCAAAATGATTAGTGGTTAGAGAAGATGTCACAGTATAATTTTTGTCCTGTAACTCAGATCAATTGAATAAAGGATGCAACCTCTGAAGTTATTGATTGTTCGTTCTAAAATTTCACACGAGTGAAACCATGATGGCAAGGATTGACAAAGCAAGAGCAACATTTTTAGAGTTGGCGAACTTCTAGAACTCACAACAACTGTCTGTCAACCAATACCAAAGCGAGAATTCTCGATACATACGTCAAGATAGTCTACTGATCAAAAATCTTCACTATAATGTAACGTTTTTATTGAATATAGATAAGTAATCTTTACATTTATAAATAAATCGTGGAGGAATTGATTATGATCCACAGATTCGAATTTATGAAATCAAATGCTACAGTCAAGGATTGTTACTTAACCAGCAGTCAGCCAGTTTTATCACTCATATAAAGGATACTACTCACAAAGTCGCTTATAAGTAGTATGCATCGTAATATAATCATTTAAAAGTTGCGATCAGGTAGAGGAGTGTAAGGTCATTGAAATGTATAGCATGCTCAGAGTATATTGAACATCAGAAGAGATAAAACTGAAGAAAGTCAAATGAACAAAACTCCATCAAAATTATTCACTTGAATTACAACAAATTCCCGTCACCATCTCATATGATGTAGTGTCACTCATTATTGTATTTAACATTGATCAGTTTGATGGATACACTTTGAAAAGATGATACTTTACACTTGAATACATTTGATTTGTGTTTAATTTCCTGACGCAATTAAACTATTGTAATTATATTGGCCTCAACCTTAAAGTGCTACTGTGGTGTGAGCTACTTATAAGTAGTATATGACGTGAGTGTCAACGTAATGTCTGGCAGCAGAAGATGGGAGAAGATCAAGAAAGGAAGAGTTCGAAAACAACAGAATTCGATATGATGAACTGATATTTTGAAAATTAACGATTTACGATATGGTTTTCCTATTTTACTGAGTAACTCTGTAATTTTCGTTAAATACAATTCACTTGCCCCACCTGTGTTCTCATTCACTACACTACTAGCTCAGTAAAAGGAGCTTCAACATGTAAAACAACAATAATTGACAATTGAACATTAAAAGAAAGATATACAATTTTATTGAATTAGATCGGAATGATTTTGTTGAATTATTTTTTCTGGTTAGCGTTTTTTTGACAAGTTAGTTTTTGACGGAATGGGGTCGCCAACCCCATGTCCAACCCTCCACCTTTACCCGGGCTTGGGACCGGCAGTAGCCCCGAAGGTTCTACTGGCAGAGTCATGAGACAAGCCCTCAGGTGGAACCCTCAAGGTGAAAGGAAAAGAGGAAGGCCAAAGAACACATTACGCCGAGAAATAGAGAAAAACATGAGAAGAATGAACAAAAACTGGAAAGAACTTGAGAGGGAAGCCCAGGACAGAGCTGGTTGGAGAAAACTGGTGGGCGGCCTATGCTCCATTGGGGGTAACAGGCGTAAGTGAGTAAGATTTTGTTGAAATTGTCAACAGTATTTTTTAACAAAAAACATTTTTATATTCATCTACAATGAAGAACAGTTCACAATAACCCCACCTAGAACCTTTCCGCAGTCGTAGCCGGTCTCAAGCTTAGACAAAAAGAACGAAGGTTGGGAATTCCGTCGGAAAACTAACTCGTTAAAAAAAAGAAAAGTACTTCATCTACGATTCATGTACATACACACCCACACACACACACGAATTCATACCTCACAATGATCACCCGACGCAGTTGGTGGACATTCACATTTTTCAATGGTTTTAATTTCACTGCCAGATAAAGTGGTGATTTCTGCACGTGGTTGATAGATTTTGTATTTTACACTAAACAAGAAAATATGTGAAAACAAAGAGAAAAAATGAATGAGGGATGAATATAAAACCAATCTTGAAGATGTTAGATGACCTAAAACTCACTTGCAAAAAGTCCTAATCTAGTAAGCTAGAAGTACTACTGCATTGCCGTTTTGTCGTAGTTATAGGAAGGACTCTTCAACTGTGCACATCCAAGACCTTGTTTAATTTGGAAATCGGACCCAAAAGACTCAGTCTCGCATGTGAGCACTTAACATCTACATAAGTCAGCTACAACGCTGAACTTCGTACGTATATACGTTAGTTCAGGTTGCTATTTTATCATTGTATAAATAAGCATGAGTTGTGTGCTTGTTGACGTCGTACTTTCTGGGTGTCTGTGGAATACATTGCTCTATGTCTTCTCAAGATTTCTTCATCTAGTTAGTGAGACATGGAACGATTGGATTAGAGTAGCCTATCGTGTCGCTGGATCACTGATCTTTGTTCCGTTTACCGAGTAAGGTGAACTCGTAATAGCATGCAAACATATCACATTTACGCATAAGTACTATGGGATTTGACTCACTTATATGTGTGTTATTTACATAGTTGAAATCATGAACTGATCTAAGAGAGGAACCTGGAAGCGCTGAATGGCCGTTTTTCCGTAGTATAGGACTCTTCAACAGCGCACATCCAAGACCTTGTATTTGGAAGTCGGACCCAAAAAACTCAGTCTCGCACGTGAGCACTTAGCCTCTAGATCAGTCAGCTACAACGTAGGACTTCGTACGTATGTACATTAGTTCAGGTCCCCATACCACATTAGCAGATAAATGCAATTATCAAACTTTAAATTTCACAGGTAATAGATGGTAGAAGTAATGAAAAAGATTAAGGTACGAAGAGAAACATAACGGTGATGAGGAATTCAGAAGATTATCATTTGAGCAAACACAAAGAATGAATGCATCTCCGCTATTGAAAACAATTCTGAGCCATGTCGTTTAAGGTCTCTAATCATCGGTAACTACTGTGTCGACGACCCCAACCTGGTAGTCCACACCACTTGCCAGTGACTTCATGAATTTGTGCGATGTTTTAGTCTGGCTGTCCTAACTTCTAGATAACTCAGTTGACATCCACTGATGTTAATATCTAATTTCCATTCACCTATGATGTTGCACAATCTTCATCCATTGTCTGAAGTAGTCAACTGTCTTTCATCAGACAACTTTTCTTTAGAACTTCAGGAATTCATTTTGATGGCGGTCACTATTGAACACATGATTGTTATTATTGAAAGTGATTTATGGTGATTGTCATAGATAAAAGTTCATGATAAATTTATATAAATCTCTTTCATGAATCGATCAATATTAAACCATTACTGGAAACCTGGAAGCACTGGATGATCCCGTTATGTCCTAGTATTGGGACTCATAAACAATGTTAGACATTAAAATGGGTGGATGCCGGCTTTGGTGTTATGGAGGTTAAGCGTTAACGCGTGAAATCGAAGCTCCTGCATTCGAATCCTACGAGTTACGGGAGTTGTGAAATACTCACTGCTGATGAGTCTCATACTAGAACGAAACAACCGTCTAGTGCTTCCAGGTCTCTAATGTTGGTTTAACAATGATTGATTCATGATTTCAACTATACAACACAGCCATATTGGTAAATATAAATTTTGTTTTATTACGTCATTTAAATTCCTAGCATTTATTTTTTGAATCTTTTCTTCAAATGTTCAATAATTATTGACAAGAAATGAAATTAAAACAACTTGAATACAGTCGGATGATTTGAATCTTGCAGCTGTTGTATAACTAATTGTAGTTATGCCATAACTAACCAATCAGATTGTGGTTTAAGAGCTCATCACGTGATCTGACTTGACATGTCTGTAAACCTTCTTTGTTGTAAATGACCTACAAATTAATTGACATTATTATCTTATTATATTGATGTGACTCATGACTGTACTCATTTCCATAAGACACGCTACTATTGGTCGGTACGTTTGCTCGTCTTACTTGATAATTGTAATTTCCTTATTTATTGTACTAATGTAATGGTTTTTATGTTTAAAAACAGATAAAGTTTGAAGCAGAAGTTGATCTTGTTTGAACTGTAGCTTTCCCATAGACTCTGTGCTCGCCAATATTGCGTTTACAGTTCTAGAAGTACACCTGTAGGACATATTAAATCCTACAAGCTGTTCTAGCTCGTCTATCCCACATGAAGCGACATATGCAGATGAAGACAGTCCGTCTGTAGCAGTAAGTGGTCTCAATATATACAAGGGGAAAAAAATTCAGATCGTTCGATGCAACACAACATGCATCAAACAATTCACAATTGAAGGAGAAGCTTTGGAAGATGTTGAAACTTGTACATACATACCTGGGGCAGCTTCAATGATAAATAAGGTGCCTATGTAAAGATATGGTTTTAGCAATGTAAGGGCAACATTTCTACAACTGAAGAATATCTGGAACTTGGAAACAATTATCAATCAACACCAAAGTCATCATTTTCAACGCAACTGTCAAGACGTTTTCATTTTATGGAACAGAAAATTGGCGAATCATGAAAGACATCATTTATAATCAGTTATTTATGCAAGGTACTTAATATTCGTTGGTTAGACACTATTAGAAACCATCATCGGAAACGAAATCAAGCACAGGAACCAATAAACGGATCATCCTGCCATACATCAAGGACATATCGGAGCATACAGCACGACTACTGAAACCATTTGGAAGAGGTGTGGCACACAAACCAACTGAATCACTTCAATCAATCCTATGTAGACCAAAGGACAAAATGACAAAGGAAGAAAAGCCAAATACCATCTACAAAATAAACAACTGCTCAGACTGTGAAAAACGCTACACAGAACAAAGTGGACGGCCTCTCCAGCTTCATTTACGTGAACACCAATTAGCAGTCAAACGCCACGACAACTCTTCGCTTATATCATTACACACTGACAATTATGGACATATTTTCGATTGGAATGATGTGGAAATAATGGATAGGGGAGGACAAAGTACATTAGGGAATTTTTAGAAGCTTGGCACTCAGGTCTATCAGCAATCAACAAACACATCGACATTGACCCAGTTTATCAACCAATCAGGAAAATCATAGGGGACATAAGATCAAGAAACAGATCAAAAAGAGATACAATCGAAACAAATGTGCAAACAACGACAGGTTTAGGGTCAACAGCAACCAATCAAGATCGAGGTTAGCAGAACAAGCTACAGGTCAAACGTGGAAACATTCGAACGCTTCACTTCTATCTGAAGTTTGTGCTGATGATGTTGTTCAGAAGAACAATGAAAGCTTTACAACCAAAACACCCAGCTCAGAGAACCAAACACCATCACCACAACTATTAGCAACAACATGCTGTGGCAGAGAACAGACTAGATTCCAGTCGAGGAATCGACGCTGGAGCAGAGTAGGAGACACATTGCAAAAGTCACGCAACTATGTCATGAAGTAAACCCTAACTTAGAACCTTCAAGGCCAAAGGAAGAGAGGAAAACCTAAGAACATATTATGTCCAGAATTGAAGACAGACATGAAAATAATGAACGGTGATTGCGTAGAACTGGAAAGACTGCTTCAGAAATGAATATACTGGAGAATGCTGGCAGGCGGCCTATGCCCTATTAACAGGTGACAGGCGTAAGTAAGTATTGTGGAATTTAACCTTTAAGTTTCAGCTAGTTTTAATCCCAATTGTACTTCAAATTAATTTTCATATGGTGAGGACACTTGGAAAACTATAAAGGCCATCATACAGGTATTTATTAACAGTTGTCTACACAAGATACTGAGTATCCGTTGGCTAGACACCATCAACAACAACCTACTATGGGAAAGAACATACCAGATTACAGTGAAGGAAGAAATTAGGAAGAAAGGCTGTATGTGGATCGGAGACACATTGTGTAAATCACTAAATTGTGTCAGAAGGCAAGCCCTCATATGGAATCCTCAAGGTCAGAGGAAAAGGGTAAGATCAAAGAATATATTACTTCGAGAATTGGAGAAAGACATGAACAAAATGATTAACAATTAGATAGAACTGGAATGGACGTTCCAAGACAAAGTTGGGTAAAGAATACTGGTCGACAACCTATGCTCCATCAGGGGTAACAGATGTAAGTAAGTAAGTAAGTAAGTATTGTGGAATTTATCTTTCAAGTTTCATCTAGTTTCAATGCTCTTTGTATTTCAAATAAATCTGATTTTTGTAAAGCACATCATCCTAAGACACTTGTTGTCATCCTATAAAAGAAAATATATATATTTATCGCATTGAATAAACATACCTTACAAGTTTTGGTCTTGCTTCTGGCATAAATAACCGTACACTAAATGAGGTGACATTTAATAAAGCCAACATTAATTCATTACGTGTAGGTCGAACACGTGTACTAATCCCATTGACACGTGTCAACACCCAATCTTGTTCACGAAGCCATATTTGACGATAACCATCAACAATGGATGTCGGTAGATTTTCCTAGAAAAATCGATAATCAATAGTTATGCAACTGATCTAATTGGTCAAAGTAACTCTTTATTGTTAATATAAATAATAAGGATTTCGTGATACGATAGGCTATTCTGAGTCAACTGTTCCCGGCCTTGCTAATTAGAGTAAGAAGTCTTGATAAGGCGTAGAAAAGTGTATTCTACAAGCACCTAGAAAATCAAGCTTACTTATACAGTGATAGGAACGTCCTTGGGAGAGCCACAAAAATAGCCTACCAAACAGTCAAGGGTTTTTCGAGGTGGGAATTGTAATCCCAAGGTCACCTGAGCAGCCTATGCGCGAAAACACAAAAAATCCAAAATTTGGACCTTTTACAAGTGAGTTCTGGGGATCTAACGTCCCCGCCAGATACATTAAGAATAGAGGATGTGAATAGGCTGCTAGTATTCGGTCACAGGTGTCTTCGAAGGATTATTTGTGTAGTCTGGAACTACTGAGTAAGTAAAGTGCGGGATAACAATAAGGTACTGGGTAAGAATAACAAATCTATTGATGGAGTAGGGATTCCTCATCAACTTCACTGGTTGAGACATGTGTTACATATACCTAACTACTGAATGCCTCGAAGATCTATATTTTGTGATGTAAGGATAGGCTGAAAGAAAGCTAGAGGCGGCCAAATTAAGAAATGGCATAAATCCATGAAGTGATCGACAGTTGGAGTGAGCCATGTTAGTAGATATAGACTACGAGGTTGGAGACTAAATTCCTCATCAGCTATGTTTTTACTTCACTGGTTTGTAATTTCTCGAATCTTATTTTCGATTCCATATCCTACCTCTACTACAATGAGATTTGAACTGACTTATTGACACAACATCACTTTAACAGTGATGAAGGATAGACAGACAGATACAACGTAGAACTTCGTACGTAAGTACATCAATTCAGGTTTTCATACCACATCAGCATAGAGACGCAACTGTCAGTTCAAATCCAAGAGTGATAGCGACAGTAGAAGTAGTAGCAGTAATGAGGAGATTAGGGAGCAAAGATATGATTCGAAAAGTATAATTCAGTGAGATGAATTCAAAAGGATAAAGACAGAGATTATGAGGAATTCAGAAGGTTAGAATTACAGAGGACACAAAGAGTGGATGCACTTGCGCCATTGCAAACGATTCTGAGTCATGTCATTCAAGGTCTCTAACCATTGGTGACTATCGTCTCACGGACCCCAACCAGGTAGCCTACATCTACAAACATGACTTAGCCCACATGTCAATGATTTCATGTATTTCTGCCATATTTTGGTTTGGCCGTCCTCTAGCTTTCTTCCAACCTACTCCTACACTACAAAACAAATCTCGTTGAGGCAGTCGGTGGTTAGGCATACGCAGCACATGTCCCAACCACCTCAACTGATGAAGTTTCAATACTTCATCTATTGATCTGCCATCCTTACCTAGAACTCGTTTCCTAACGACAGCATTGCTTATATGGTTATCCCAGGATACACGAGCAATGTGTTCGGAGACACCGATGATCGAAGACTAACAATGATGAAAACATAACACAATACACTACCTTTCTTACTGATATACTGAATCGCATTTTGATATAATTTAAATGTACACTAAGTGTTGCCAGATATTGTGATGAAACACAAACAAACATGTAAAGGAGTAGATTGACATCAATCTTATTTGCTCACACTGTGGTAGGCTCGTAGTGAATACATTAACTGAATACATATATACCTAGACAGTAATCAATCAGTCTGCTTGTATGTGTAAAACGGAGTCGTATGGTTCGATCAGTTTTCTTTTAGTATGATTGAGAAATGTCGGATTTACAATGGAGAATAGATTTGCTCTTTTCACTTTCAATGGGCCTCTACAGGTTTTCGTCCAAGTTGAGAGCATGGTTAGTGACTTAGTTAAAAGTACAACTATAAATCTGCTTAGAGCACAGAAATGTATTCAACAAAGTAATAGAAACTAATAAACCTTTTTATCGACAATCTTACCATAATTAAAATGGCCAGTGAAGTTGAAGGAATGAAGTAATTAACTGCCTATAACAGTGTAAGATAGTTTAGTGTGCATAATTTTTATGTCGAACCCAGAGGGCTTGTCTTAGCTTTTGTTGAACAACTTAATCAATGCATTCTTCTCAAGTTATTATTCACTCGTTTTTTGACTTTGCCACACATTCACTTATATCTAGGTCGTAATTATTCGAGTATATGTGTGCACTGATTTCTGAGCTTATCACAAACCTTTAGCTTATTTCTGTTCGACTAAAGATGTTTAATTCATGCTTCGTCATAATGAATTAGCTCATTGTCCTTCTCCACTTCACTTTGTTTTGCTTTCACGTGTTGTATTCTCGTTTCTGTCTGCACAAAAGATTGACTGAAATAAACTCATCTAACCGAATCCGTCTTTGGCTTTTAATTACAATAGTCGCATAAACGAGGTTCGGGGAGATATCTTTCATAGTACATTCAATTGTTCGTCTAAATTGGAGTCAGATCACGGGCCACTGAAATACTTGCATAATAAACAAACTTGGTAAAGTCAAACACACAGACCATAGGATATTAGTCAACTAGTTTAATGATTAAGGGCCCTCCCTATATTATGAAACCTAAAGATGATGAAAGATTCGAATATCGATGGTGTTAGGATATTCATCAAATGTCCTACGAAGAATCGTTTTGTCAGTGTAAATTCTATTGGTCGATTTCATATCGGTCAATATTATGATCGTCCTAGTTATCAATGTGTTAGGATATTCATCCAAAATCCTAAAAGAATTATTGTTGAAATCCTATTGGTCGATTCCTATTGGTCAAAATTATGGTCGTTTTAACTGTCAAAGTCAAATACTTCAATGTTGTCTCTTATTGGTCATCCGGACTGTCAATGTCATTTCGAATGTTCTTTCTTATTGGTTGTCCTGACTATCAATGTCACTTCAAATGTTACTTCCTATTGGTCGTCTTAACTGTCAATATCACAAACTTCGATGCTGTTTCCTATTCGACCTAATTGTATAAATACTCATTATCCTTACCGTCTTATGATCCGGATCCTTAGCCTATTCTGAACTTGGACATCGTACTTTCTGGATACCTGTAGAATACAGGTTCTACTTCATATCAAGTCTTGTCATCATTTACTCAATATGGGGGTTTGGGCCACTCAGATTTGAGTAGCCTGTCATGGTCGCCGGATCCTCAATCCTCGCTCTCGTTTTTACGACTAAGGTAAACTCGTCATAGTTTCAAACAACATCAAACTGACGCGTGTTACGTGTAATTCGTAACAGATGGAATATATATATAGCGCAGCGCTACAATAAACTCTTGTACTCGAGACTAAACAAATAGTCACTCATTATTTTGTAGTGCCTCAACATGTGTTCCAGTTCGCTTACAACTAACTTGGTTAAGCCCTTTTCGATTAATTTATTTAACTAAGCCACTTGTATATTGCAACAATTTATATGTACCATTCGATCTTATTATATTGTCTTGTTTGTATGAGGAGCTCACATGATGTGTTCCACTTGTCATTTGACCTTGTCAACACTATTCGTCGCTTTTATTCATGTGTGCCTATTTCGCATGTCGCATGTCTGTCTTATACTTATCTGACTATTTATTCTTAGTCACGCTCTATTTCTTTGAGTTGGCTCATTAGCCTTCTCCACATCGCTTCCTTCTCCCATTCGTTTGCATTGTAATCCCGGGAGTTGGCTCAACAGCCTTCTCCAATTCACGTCGCTTCTTTCGTTCTATTCACTGTTTCTCCGCTTCGCTTTGTGGCGGTGTGTCCCACCCAAATAAACGTATTCAACACTTCGAGTTCATCTTCTGATTTATAAAAACCGTCAGACACTAGTTAGTAACGATTGTCTAGACGAGTTAATTACCCCGAGCTTAAAAACACGCAGTAAATCGACACACTACAATTTAACCGACGTCGTAACGGTAAAAAAACAATCAATTTTTTCTGCTTACCGATGGTTGTTGATATTCCAATTCAATTTCACCATTCAATGCTGTGATTCGTGCATCAACATTATCATTTCGTGATGGTATCATTAAATTGTTAGATAAATTTGACCAATATTGATGATGCTGAGTAATCAATTGTGAATCTTCAATGCCAAGTTTACAATCACCAGTTGGCAAACATTCTGTCAGTACACCAATCACTACACTACCATAATTACGCATCTACAAGTAATGAAAAAGCGTTTTTTTTGAAAAAATGAATCAGTAAGTTGATTAATAAGCCACGATAGATTGTAAGTGATTAATTATTTCATGTGAACTGACAGAAGACACTCAATGTACTGACCTATTGTGATGGAGTACTACTGTTGTTCTCTGAACTGAGGATGTTTTGATTATGGAGTTTTCATGATTGTTAGTGTTCTTCTGAACAACAGCTGTCATCATCATCATCAGCAGCACAAACTTCAGCGAGAGAAGTGCAGACTATTAAACAATAGAGGATTTCATTTGTTGACATTCATTATTCTTGAAACCAGGATTGGATCGATCAATGAATGTTAGATCACCATTCGAAACCTGGAAGCACTGGATGACGGCCGTTTCGTCCTGGGATGGGACTCCTCAGCAGTGAATTGATCAAGTTAGACATTAACACTGTTAGGCACCGGCTCAGTGGTCCGATGGTTAGGCGTTCGTCTACATTGCCGAAGGTCCTGGGTTCGAATCCTGCGGGGTGTAGGAGTCGTGGGTGCGCACTGCTGAGGAGTCCCATACCAGGACGGAACGGCCGTATTTCACTGCTTCCAGGTTTCTAATGGTGGTCTAACATCGATCGATTCAAAAATGTGTAACTTAACAATCTTCACAACCCCGTAATGGACATTCATTATTACTGCTGTTCTGTTTCCCAATCTTATGGTTCTATGATACCGAAGAATCATTTAGGATTTTATAAAATAAAAGATGACAATGAGCTACTTGTTTATTATCAATGATATCGCTTTTGCTTGACCTAATTACATATGATCAGTGTAAGTGATCGATCAGTGAGTGAAAATAAATGAATGTAGCCATCTATGCTCATTGTATATAGTAAACATTTGTTACCTCTTCCCCTCCCCAATGAAGCAAAGGCCGCCTATCAGCATTCTTCAACCCACTCTATCCTGAGACTTCTTTTCCGGGTCTATCTATTTTTGTATCTTCCGGATGATCTCTTTCATGGTTCTCCATGTTCACGCCTATGTCTTTGGTGTTAATTGATAGTTGCTTTGAGCTCCGAATGTCATTCAACTGAAGATATGCTGCTCATTCTTTACCGATCCATGCTAGCATATCTGCATCAGATCTACCTTGTTTATCAATGATGCTGCCTAGATACGTAAATGTTTCTACATCCTCCGATGCTTCTCCATTAAGTGTGATTTGGTTAGGGTGCTTGTTGTGTTGTATCGGAGAATCCTGCTTTTCTGCTTGTTTATATTAAGACCCACTAATGGACAGGCTGCTGCTACACTGGTCGTCTTCTCTTGCATTTGTTATTGAGTGTGCGATAGAAGAGCCAGATCATCCAGCTGCGTCCTAGCTGTCCACTGTATGTCGTCCTACCCTCCAGATGTCAACGTCTTCATAATCCAGTCGATCATAAGGGTGAACGTAAGCAACCTTGCCTGACACCGGTCTTCACCTCGAACAAGTCCATCAGCTGACCTCCGTGCACTATTTTGCAGTTTAATCCATCATTAGCATTCCGTGTTCTGTTGAATATCTTCTCAGACACACCATAGTATTGAAGATGCCTCCATAGTGTCAACCTGCCTACGATGACGAATGTTTTCGCCTAGTCAATGAAGTTGATGTAGAGTGGTAAATTCCATTTACTTGATTATTCCACAATGATCCTTAGTGTGGCGATTTCGTCAGTACATGACTGATGCTTACGGAATCCAGCCTGCTCATCTTGAAGTTGAGCATCTATTGAATCTTTGATTCAGTTTAACAATATATTCTATTGAAGACTTTTTTTGGTATTATAAAAAAAAAGAGATGCAAATGTTATTACCGTATCTATCATCATGGTATACAATACCCAATTGTATGGCCCTGTTGTCTTACTTATAGAAGAGGTCGAACTCTAATACGGTTTTTCTCATTATTACAACAATCTGACTAATGAATTCTATTGTGACCACATCTCGGTTCTCCACGACAGAGAACAAATCATTGTGAAAGTAATTTTGAAATTCGTTTCAGCAATCAGATTTGTAATTGATCTAGAGAAAAATGTGATGTATTTGCGCTATACACTTCGAACAATTTGCACATTTGAAATCATTAATCAATCATCATTGTTAGACCACCATTAGAAACCTGGAAGCACTGGACGGCCGTTTCGTCCTAGCATGGGACTCCTCAGCAGTGCGCATCCACGACTCCTGCTCCTCGCAGGATTCGAACCCGGGACCTTTGGCATTGTAGGCGAACGCCTTACCATCGGACCACTGGGCCGGCATCCAACGGTGTTAATGTCTAACTCTGATTGATCTAGGGATTTTGCGCGACCTCACCCATTTGTCTTTGGTAGTTACTGCCTACACCCGACAGGGCTGAACTCCACTGGTCACGTCTTCTCAATTAGAACTCCGAGAATTTCCTCACGAAGCTAGTCACTAGTGAGCACTGTTACGAGCAGGAGTCGTGGATGCGCACTGCTGAGGAGTCCCATACTAGGACGAAACGGCCGTCCAGTGCTTCCAGGTTTCTAATGGTGGTCTAACAATGATGACTGATTAATGATTTCAAATGTGTAAAAACGCTAACCTACAAAACTGTGCCCCAATATATCAAACAATTCGGTCACACATATCACACTTGTCAAGGCATTTTGATATGAAGATGAATAAAAGGTCAATTAAATAAAAGTTCAAATAGGCATAAGTTGGTAATTGTAAATAAAAGGAGAGAGAAAATTAACGTAATATGAAAAGAATAAGCAAAAGGGTAGGAAATTGTCACATTAACTGTAGGCTTAAAGATTACCAGGGTAAATTCAAGGTTATGACAAACTGTTTCTGCACACATAAGGAGGATTTTAATTTTCGCAAAACCAAGGTCTCTATAAACCTCAAAATTCGTCCTGCAACATTTCTATACAATGTTTTGAAGGCTGTCTTGATGTCAGTCTTAAGCGCCCTGTCTCAATTATGTGTTTGGCGATCGATGAACATGGTTTTCTATTTCCAACGCTAATCGGCTCATCTGACGTTAACTGATTTTGAAGCCACTTAGGTACATGTGTTCCATAACCCTTGATTGCAAAGTCCGATTACTCCTCACTATGTATGTGTGTCCACACGGACATGTAAATTGATAAATACAATGGGATGTGATGTAATCATTCGAGCAACGTTTAGGTCTATGTGAAATCATGGACTTGGTCTTTTTTTCAATGATAATCAGTTTAGCAGAGTTGTATATTTTCTCTATGTCTGCTTTTAGTCTCTGTCTTAATTATTAGACCAGATTGTTCGAAATGTATAGCACAAATGCATCATCACATTTTTCAGATCAATTACGTCTTCTCACTATTTTATCAAAATTCATAAAATGGACTGATTGTTTTAAATCAGATTTATGTTAAGTCTTGAACAGTTAAACATTCGAGTATTCACCGTTAACAGATAAAATTAGTTAATTGAATTAAATCTAAAAGCAGAAAAATCAACAACGGAGAAAATGTTAACTCCATACACTTCCTTCAAATTTCTTATTACTACGTTGCTTACTTACTTACTTACGCCTGTTAATCCCAATGGAGCGCAGGTCACCGAACAGCATTATACAACCTACTCTGTTCTCCGTCTTCCTTTCCGTTCCTACCCAATTATTCTTCGGCCTTTTGATGTCTGCTTTTAATTCTCAACATAATGTCTTCTTTGATCTTCCTCTTTTCTTTTGACCTTGAGGATTTCAAATGATGGTTCGCCTTGTCATGCAGTTGGATACTTTCCCCAATGTTTAGCCTATCCACTTCTAGCACTTTTTCATGATTTCTCCCTCTACTGGAATCTTGTTTGTTTTCTCCTTAGAGTAGGTTGTCTCTGATAGTGTCTAGCAAAAGGGGCCTTGGTATCTTGCGTAGAAAACTGTTAATAAACACTTGTATCTTGTGTATGATGGCTTTTGTAGTTTTCCAAGTTTCCGCTTCATTCAGTAGAACTGTCTTCATATTTGTATTGAAAATTGTGACTTTACTGTGTGGCTGATCGCGGTTTTGAGTTCCGGATGTTGTTCACTTGTAGAAATGCTGTCCTTGTTTTATCAATCCGTCCATTCATATCTGCATCAGATCCACCTCACTCACTTTGTGATGCTACTCATCAAATTTTTTACCATTAATAATCATGAAAAACCTAATTGAAAAACTTACTAATGAACCTTTCAATTCGGGTATTTCTAAATAAGTTGGTCGATGTACAGAGAAACGCCAATTGAATTGACTTAAACCAATAATTAATTCATTGACATCAGTATCTTTTAGACCAAGTTTTAAATCAATCATTGGTCCACCTGGATATCTTGAATCATCAGTTGAAATGATCTTGAAAAAATACAAAAAGAGTTTTTTATTAAATTTCATTAGAAAATCATGAACTAATCAATATTAGACTGGAAGTCTTAAGTTCGATTTCTGTATGCC